TATAAAGATCATATACAGATAAGGTGTTGAACTTAACAAATAGCGGGGCAGAGTGATCCTTAAAACTAGAACCATTAATCAGTCTTAAAGATTTCTTCTGTAAAACGAGCAATTTATCAAGGTAGGTTTTATGAGTATTTCCCCAGGCAAGTATACCATATTGAAGATGAGGCAAGGATAACGTATTATAAATTGAAAATAAAACACGGGATGGGACAAAATATCTAAGTTTTCTAAGAATACCAAGGTTGCGAGATATAAGTGTAAGGACTTTCTGACAATGATTTTTCCACGTTAACTTATCATCAATAATGACCCCCAAAAACTTACAGGAATCAACCTTTTCAATATGATGATTGTTAAAACGAATCTGAATACTTTTATCTACAATTCGATTTGTAAAAACCATCGTATGTGTTTTCTTAAAATTCAAAGATAATTTATTACATACAAACCACTCAAATACATTAGTAAGCTCATTGTTCATTATGTCAACAGCATCATTCAAATGTTTACTACTGTAAAATATATTTGTATCATCTGCAAATAAGATGAACGTCAGAAGTCGAGTAGAATTACAAATATCATTAATATAAATAAGAAATAAGATAGGTCCTAGGATTGAGCCCTGAGGTACACCACATGTGATTGGTTTGTAATTGGACTTTTTATTTTGCCAGACAACAAATTGTTTCCTATTTCTCAAGTAATCTTTAAACCACTCGAGTGCAGTACCTCTGACACCATATGTTTGTAGTTTATTAATTAGAATATCATGATTTATTGTATCAAATGCCTTAGAAAGATCCAAAAAAATACCAATTGTATGTTCACGTTTGTCCAGACTAGATGTTATTTTATCAACTAAATCAATCAAGGCAAGTTCAGTTGAATATTTGGCCCTGAAGCCATACTGAGATTGTGACAGTATGTTAAATTTAGCAATAAATTTTTCTAGACGGTTTGCAACTAACCTTTCTAATAATTTTGAGAAGCATGGCAATACAGATATGGGGCGATAATTAGTGACATTGGAACGATCACCATTTTTGTAAACTGGAGTAACTTTAGCAATTTTAAGTTCATTAGGGACCTCTCCGGAAATTAAAGAGTGATTAAAAATATCTGTTAAAGGGTGAACAATAAAAGGAGCAATATTTTTTATCAAAATATTATCAAGTTCATCATGACCAGAGCTCTTCTTATTTGGAAGTTTACTGATACAATCAAATAGTTCTTCCTCGGTGACTGGGCTTAAAAATAGAGAATCGGGAAAGTTACCTTTGATATGTGTTATAGGGTCAGAAGTACTATGTTGTATCTTAGAAGCTAAATCTGGACCAATGTTAACAAAATGTTGATTGAAATGCTCTGCAATCGTTTGAGGGTCGTTAACATCATTATTGTTTATTTTGATCGAGTTAATTGGCTTGATGTTTTTGCGCTTTTTATTTAAAATTTCATTTATGATTTTCCAGGTATTTTTTATGTTGTTTTTTTGTTGCCCAAAAGACTCTGAGTAATATATTTTCTTGGAGGCTCTAATAACGGTGGTTAATTTGTTTTTATATCTGTTATATTTGAGTTTGTTGATCTCAGAAGGTTTTGTAAGAAATACTTTATACAGTTTATTTTTCTTTTTTATAGACTTGAGTAGACCTTTGGTAATCCAGGGATTTTTAGGTTCTTTATTGTGATGTCTACACTTTTTATAAGGCATGCATTTATCAATGAGTTCACTTAGCTTGGATATGAACTGCGAGTATCGCAAATTTACTCCATCATCGGTAATAATTGAACCCCAGTCAACTTGAGCTAATTCACCTTTCAGAGCAGCAACATTTCTGGCTGATGTATTCCTTTTCCAAAAGGAACTAGATTGTTGCTTAGCTTGAGCAAGGTTAAGGTTGGAGCCAAAGAAAATGATTGGAAGATGATCGCTGAAATCCGATAGAACAATAAAAGTGGAAAATGGTTCAATGTCGTTAGTAAAGATATTATCAATCAGTGTTGCTGAATTTTGAGTTATTCTAGTTGGTTTGTCAATAGTTGGGCGAAACAAGTAAGTATATAAGAGGTTTAGTACATCATTAGTTCCTGCGTGAGATTCACAGTTAAGAAGATTAATATTAAAATCACCTAACAAATAACATTTTTTGGATTCGGATGCAATTTTTTCCAGAACTGATTCGAGGTCTTCTGTGAAGGTCTGAAGACATAAACCAGGGGGTCTGTAGATCAAGCCAATTATAATGTTACTTGTTTTTGTTTTTATCTCAATAAATAAGGATTCATGGGATTGAGTCGGAATTGACAGATCGGGGCGCAATACATAAGTCAGTGAATCTTTAACATACATCATCACACCTCCGCCAGTTTGATTTTGTCTGTTTTTAAACTCAATGTTATAACCTGGCATGACCAAAAGGGGATCAGGGTCTGACTTCAGCCATGTTTCAGTAAGGCCGATAATTTGAAATTCGTGCCTTATTTCTAAAAGCGAATGCTGCAGGGAATCAAAATTTTTATTTATACTTCTTATATTTGCGTGATACAATGAAAAGGAATCACCTTTCTTAGTATATTTGGCCTGCACCTGGTCTTCACTAAGGTATTCGGACCCGCATGTACTTTGCAGGAATTCGGCGTATTCAGTATCCAACGGTACGGGATTAAAGACGTAATCGTTGAGGCGATTTATGACATCACTATCTGATGAATGGTGTGCGTCTGTACTACTTAAACTTTCATTGAAACTACTGCTGTCACTTAAATAGCTACTGCTAGAACTAGACATAAGGATTTAAATTACAATAAGACATTAATGGAATGGAATGGCCAGAATAAAAGCCGTTACTAAGGGCTAGTGAAGGGCGTCCACAGCAACGTTTCAATGTAAACAAGATACTGAAACTATGAACATGTTTCAATACCAATGAAATATGGAAGATGATGTGTTTACTAGGGTAGACAATGATCATAAATTCACACATTATTTTGTTATAATTACATGCACTAAACCCCAAATATTCGGTGACTTAAGGAGACATTGAAATGATATTATAAGCAGGTGATCTGCCAGATATTGCACGATTTTGGTGATGTTAAGGATGGTAGTAGTTGTGAATAAGAGGAAAGAAACTGTTACCATATTTAAGTAGTAAACTTAAGTAGTAAGTTACAATGTAGCTAAAGCAAGATGTTATATACCTTATTGATCGGAGTTAAGATATCGGGTTAGATTGCCCCATTCTGAAGGTCTTGAATGAACCGCTCTTGAGTTTGTAGCTGATGACTGCTGGTACTGACATGGGGATGTAGGCGAATTGTACCCGTGAGTCCTGCCGAATGGATTGTAGGTGTTGTTCCCTAAGTCGACGTCTTTGCTCACGGATCCTCTGGGTGACATCATCGCTTATGAAGATGTTGGAGCCTTGGAATGGGTTGTTCTTCAGGTGGCGAGCGGCGTTCTTGATGATGTATTGCCTGTCCGTATACCGCAGGAGCTTGCAATGAATCAGCCGCGGGCGTTGGCGTTGGTTGGGGCCCGTGCTTGGTGGCCGGTGTCCAGGAGTGCGGTGGGCACGCTCTATCTCTATTTCAGAGCCTCCATCAAGCTTCATGTGGTCAGCCAGGAATTTCCCGATGAACTCCTCACAGGACTGGCCGTTTTCTGCGCCCTCGGGGATACCATGGATCACTATGTTGTTCCGTCGGTTTCGATTTTGGAGGTCATCGATTTGGTCATCGAGTTTACTGAATTCCAGGTGGTTACACTGGCTTCTGTTGTCGATGAGATCCTTGAGAGACCGGCAATTCCCCTCGACCATTTCCACCGATGTTTTCAGATCATCAATCCCCTTGCTGTTAATGTCAACACGGTGATTTGTCTGTTGATAGCTGGCTTCTAGAGTGGAAAGACGTACCCCCATGTTGTCAAGTGATTGGAGAATTTTGTCCAGCTTGTTGTTTACATCGGACAGGGCGTCACGGCAAAACTGGCAGCCATCTTGAATTTCACTTAGAGCTAAGGAGCAGGTTACTATAACACCAACTCTCTAGAATATTATGAGAAGAGACAAAATTCTTGGATGCTCCTTCTATTCTATATTAAGTGCTAATTTTACAAACGCAGTATACAAATGACTATAAATTTTCTCACATAATATGTACAATTTTGTTTTGTTCTTTGTCTTTTTTCTAGGTTTTCAGAGAACAATAATAATGCAATGAATCACAACAAGCAAGAAATATTACCACCACCAGCAAAAATATGAAAATGAAGCTCCTACAGCCCGCTCCAGAGACCAATCGTCGCTGTCAGATCGCTGGACGGCCACCAAGATGGAAGGAGTTTGGATTTCGCCAAAAGAAGACAGTTCAGTCTAATGGCAGCAGATGATACACTCCTGCAGACCACTCTGGAGGTCAGTCAGTGGTTCTCTGGCGGTGGGACGGCACCAAGAAGACGCAGTCAATTGGACGACCGCAATGACCAGTTCAGGAAAAACCGCCCAGATGCAACATGTACAGTCCAGCCGGAACAGGATTCTGTGCTTCAGCGGTGTCTATGGCAGCACCAGAGTCTCTTGGAGAAAAATGTGTGTCTTCAAGATGGCACCAAGTAAGGAAGGCGGCAGGAACCTGGGCCGGTACACCCCTCCTTAGTTAACCTGGTCTGGTACCCAACCTCCGCTGGGCCTACTATGCCGATGCTGAGCTTAGCCTGGACTCCCAATCGTCATGAGCAGAACGACGCCACAGCTAGAGCTCCCGGTCTCATCAGTGCCAGGCGAATTCCCTATATATTTGACTGTCGTTTAGCCCTGATTTACTTTATCTAATTTCGCTCCCAAATCTAAAATAAAGTGGATAGCAAAGCTATCCTGCCGACTACGCCAAGTGTAACCGGGGAGAGTGGAATTAGTTAGTTTTTAAAATGTGGCACTCTCCTTATGTCCGAGGGGTTCCACTAAAAAATGATTTGGGTAGAGTGAATGTTTTCTGTTGTCTCACAAATATGAAATGGTTTATTTACAGTACAAATAGAGACAATATATATACAAATTATTAGGTATTTACACAAGAATTATATTAGAAACTTGGTTGGGTGTATAAAAACGACAGTCAAAAGGGAAATGGGCTAATGAAGTAGCTCCAAGGATATTATCTGAAATGCATAAAAACAATAAATGTCTAATGAATTATGGGAATTACTGTGGCATAAAATGACTGTTGCCCAAATGGAGAATTATTTAAATGGCAATTATGCAAGAATATGGATATTTTATGTACATATAATGTAATTTTAAATCCGAAAAATAGAAATGAATTATTCGCCAAGTTATGTTATAAAATGAAATCAGAATATAATACCATGCCCTAATAACAAATTCCCGAATGATCATAGCAATAGAAAACTGATAGTTTTGGGGAAATGGGAAAAGTCTATTTCAAAAGATAAATGAGAACGTAAATATTATGGCAACACTAAAATTTAAGTTGAAGTTAGCATACTTGTGTTGCTCATAAGTTCCAATTTGTGTTTGTTTCAAAAGGAAAATTTGAAGTTCACAAAAATAAAGTGCTTAATAACATTGTTTTCCGAAATGCCGAAAAATATTAAAATAGTAAGAGATTGTGTTAAAATAAATGGACGGTGTTTACCCGAAATGTTTAAAGTATAAAATAAAGTCAACAAAAAATCCTTTTTGCCATCTCATGCAAGAATTAAATAGAGAATCATTAAAATCATTCTCAAAAATACTTGCAAATCACGACGACAGATTTGTTTCAAAAGTTAATAATCAGTCGTGATTACAAGACAAATTTCCGGCCGTGTCCGTTTTGACGGCCTTTAATTCTGGCAATAAACAAACATACAAAAGACCAGAATGTTTCATACATGATGGCATAAAAAGATTTTAGGCATAAAAATGTGAAATATCAGACAAGGGATTTACTCACCACTTGGGAGGATCTACGTTCATGCCTACTCCGATGTGAAAATCGACGATCAGCAGTGAAAATACAATGTAGATGTAAATATTTTACTGCTAGTATAGGGAGCCTCTCTCAAAATTGTAATACAAGTGAAGAGTGTAAGCGCTCGTAAAAGATGGTCTGAATTCAACGATGTGTTGGATCGAAATCAACAATATTCCGCAGCAGGCCCTACAAGAAAACTATACCGAAACGCCCGGAATGTCAACTATTCCGCTTAAACAAAGCGCGTTGGAATGCAAAACTTGCACGCTCGCTACGCCCATCGCATAGTTGAGCCAAATTCTAGGCGGCGCGCGCTGTTAAAAAAAGTTTAGTTGGCCGCGAGAGGGCGCTAGGCAAAAAGCATGATCACAATGGCTGCTCACATGTAAATCTACACAAACACGAAGTTACAAAAGTTTGGTATGAAATAATGCTGGAGTAAGGAACCAGTCGGGGAAAAGTAAGTACTGCAACCCGACCTGGTTACACTAGTACCAGTCAGGTGACCACCATATACCTCGTTAAAAGATGTACTCTCTGTCAGGCTTTACTTTGAACAAAATTAAAGATTTTATTCTCGATTGTTTAATTTTTTGGCAATACAAATGCATTCATTTTCGAATTGGATATAGAGCAAAAGTTGGCTGAATTCAAACTGACGTCATCAAAAATGGCCGCCATTTTTTATACAAACCCTCCAACTCCCAATTATTGTTTGAGGGACCATTCCTTTTCCCCTGCGGTTCCTTATCTTTGGAACAAACTCACATTCAACATTCACAATGTTATTATCAAAATTACACGAGATTCAAAGAAGAAAAAAAGTGTTAAAGATTCTACTCAATTTATTCATAATTTTTAGTACACTATATCAAATAAGATATTAAAATGAAGTTCATAAAAATGTCGCAATTAAACTCAGAATGTTATAAAAGAAATTCTTGCTCTGTGTCTTAATTGTACGATATTTCTCCCAATTTTTAGGTCGGTTAATGGTGTGGTCTTAAGCAGTAGGCCTTTTGTTGCCAGTGTAGGTCACTAAGGGACACCGAATGTGCACGAATCGGGAAACACCAATAGTTGAACAGACTTACTGCTCGTCTCGGAAAAATGCGAGTTACAGGTGCCCCTGTTAATGAAACAACGAGCAATGGTTTAAGCGGTATCACCGAACAGAAGTCTTTTGGGTTTGAATAGTGGCCAACCGGTAAAATCGAGAATGCCAGGCTAATGGAGATGCATCCTAAAGGTAGGTAGACGTGGTCAAGACCGGACTTCTCTTTTGTTCCCGAAGAGGAATCGAATCAAGTCTTGGGAATTATGACACTTGTACCTGGAAACAACTCTGAGCATATAACGTCCCGAGTTATAGCCCTAAATGCGCTTGCCAGGGATTGGGACCGGTTTCAGACCAAGACTTGAACAAGTAATCTCTTGTCTAGGCAGGGGCATATCTTGGGGGGGGGGGGGCGGGACAGGGGGGCACCTTGCCCCCTTGGCGTATTGTTTTTTACAAGAATTTTTTGTTGGCAATTATTTCAATAAATGGTAAGAGTGTTCTGTCATCAATCCCCCCCCTCAAAAAAAAAACAACAACTCAAAAACCATTACAATGCGCCGTCTAAGGCACAGTAAAGGGTGGTCTGGGCACCCGCCTCCTCATCAATAAAGAACAGCCTGTGTTTTGAAATGATATAAAAATCAAACAAATTACATAGGGGAACTGACTATGTTTTCTTTTAATCAGTACATGGCATAAAGAACTTGATTGGACTGATGATCATACATTGTATGTAATCAAAGGTCATAACTTCTCTGATGATTTCCGAGTTTGAAATTCAACATTTTTAGTACTGAATATTCAGAACTGATAACAAGAATGGCAAGCATTTTGTTAGTAAAACCATTTTACACCTACATGTAATATCAAAGCTTTTGAGAGCATATCCGAGTCAAGGAAAACATATTTAAGAAAAGCTCCTTTTCTGGAACCAAGAGAAATACTGCCCCTTTTTGAAACTCGAAGCTGGCACCTACCTGATCTTAGATTCATTGGGAAAGTCAGAATCTTTGTGTCTAGGAACCAGATTTACTGGACCTAGTACCTAATATCTAGCACCTAGTACCTGGTACCCGGTACATAGTACCTAGATCCTGGTACATGTACCTTGCACAAGTGTACAATGTACCATGGTGCCATCTACACCTGTTTTCACAGGGCCACACTTACCAAAAGAATGGAAGACTAAAGAAGTGATAGACACTAGTGACCCAGTCCCTGGACATGTGACTCCAGATATATAGCCGCCGTGTCGGTTGAGGATGCTATACTTGATGAATACTAGAGCCTGGGAACTTAGCGCGCTTCCGAAACCCTAGAATAGGACAAATAACGTGTAAAACGTTCTAGAATTGGCAATTATTTTGGGTTCATTTACTTCTTCAGAAATCACCCCCGAAAACTTCCTTTGTGTAAAATTGTTACGTTAAGTAGATTCTGCAAATTTCCAACAAACATCATCCCTCTTCTGCAACTGAGCGCTGTAGAGTAAATGGTGAGCTGATAGACTGATAATACAGTTGGTGTGAGACAGGAATGCGTCCCCAGTTATTTAACATTCTTCCAGAAGTTGTAATCACAGCACTTAATTACGGATATTGGAGCCAATTAACATCTCTGGATTTCAATTAAACAACCTACGATTCGCAGATGACATTGTCTTAATAGCGAGTCACGGGAAGAACAAACACTTGTCAATATGCATGCAGAGTCCAAATTAAAAGCAAGCAGCAACGGCGGACTGAATGCAATCACAGGCTATAAACCCATCACCAAAAGGAACCAGACACTCGACGTCAAAAGTCCAAACATAATGTGTACCGGCATATGGAAGGAAACATCGCAGAGTCTGACACATATATGTGCATGAAGATGAACTTGTAAAGCATTGGGAGCTGCCCAAATTTATGACTATTATTATTTTGACAGTCAAGAAAGAGACATAAAAAGACACCAAACTCCAACTCTACCAAACAATATAATAGTGTCTATCATCCTCTACGGATCCGACGGAACTACTTGTAACCGAACCTCATAAAAGCATGAAAACAGACTCAGGACTGTCTCCTAATATTTGAGATGGCTTAATGCCTCCGCAAAATGCCTCCGCGAAATCATGCATCTCCATGCAGATGCAGAGAAGACAAAATCCGGAACCAAACCATCCAAGAGACACACTAGGCCAACATAAAACAAAAATTGATATGAAGACCACTTAAATACTTTGGACATATCAGAATGGGAATGATGCAGATACAAAAAAAAACATATGAGGGGAGAACCATAGGACAAGATCAAGACGGAGGAAAACATCAAAGAAAACGGCTATAAAACTGCCCCGAACTGACAGCAGAGAAAATCGATGCACTTCCTCACTGACAGAAGCAAGTCAGCTGGCATCCCACATAAGCGTTTGCAGGACACCACGAAGCAGGAGCCATCACACGTACAGCTAGCCCCATAAATGTGGCCTATTTACTGGACTGCCTCCCTAAACATAGGCCACACATCCACATGTACAAAAACGTGTCGCACTTTGCCAAATTTTGATTTTCACATTTAGGCTTAGTTTGTAGGATTGTTTTTACTTCAGAAGCATACTCACCCTCTTTATAGGCTAGTCAGAAAGTGCTGCCGTTTTCAGATGTCTAATTTTTGTGAAATTTCATGTTGAAATTTTGATACGCAAACGTGTAAAAATGAATCTGGAAATTTCACAAAAAATATACATCTGAAAAAAGGCAGCACTTTCTGATTAGCCTATAAAGAGGGTGAGTATGCAAAAGCAAAAAAAACCTACAAACTAAGCCTAAATGCGAAAATCAAAATTTGGCAAAGTGCGACACGTTTTTGTACATGTGGATGTGTGGCCTATTTTTAGGGAGGCAGTCCAGTAAATAGGCCACATTTATGGGGCTACAGCCTGCTGGGCATGGTGTGGAAGCTAGGCTTAGGTCAAGCATGGAGGAAGGAATGGGTCAAAGTAGGTCCAGGATAAATCGTATGACATGAATTTAAAAAGAGAAAATATTGTGCCCAAGATTGACCTCTCACTACTGCAGCCCGTAAAGTGAAACTTACGGATGTGATGCGGATTGATACCCCTAATCGGCCTAATTTTGTGGTGGTAATTTCTAGGTGAAAACTGAACATGAAATACATGACCACGATAAGGTTTCCAAAGTGTGTGAAAAAACTTAAAGGACTCATAGTATTTAAGAAAGAAAACAATATTTACCGTATTGACCGTTTATAGGAATGCACCCATGATCTGAGCCAACCCCACTAAATCTAGAAACCATCGGCTGTAGGTAGCCCGTACATCTTTGCAATTTTATTTTCTCGTTCCCACGCAAGTAGAAATGAGACGATCACAGAGCAAGAGGCATGTGGACATGCTTGTATATACTTGTACAGTATATACTCGTACTCGGTACCCGTACTCGAGTACTATTCGAGTACTATTCGAGTACTACTCGAGTACTATTCGAGTACTATTCGAGTATACTTTTCGTACTCGTTGTACTCGAATGACATAAGTACTCGTACTCGAACTGACGGTACTCGTACTCGGGATCGATATAACGAAATAGCTTGACTTACCACAGCCTCACTATATTTTACGTGAAACGCCGAGGTGTTCCTGAAAATGGTCGTTCGATTAGCAAGTACTCGGATCGTACTCGCACTCGGAAGTGCAAGTACTTGTACTCGGAGACTATTACTTATACTCGGTTGGCAAAGTATTCAGACTTGACTGGTACTCGGCAATCTAAGTACTTGGTGTCTTTGGTACTTGGAAAAAGTACTCGACCACAGCACTGCGAAGGTAGTAAATAAAGTATACCTGAAGAACAGGATAAAATCCCTTCATGAGTGTTTCTTGGGGTGGTTATACGGTTAGAAATCTTTCTGCCAAAATTGTAGAATGTAAAAGGGCAACCCAATGTAAAAATGCCGGCCTGCAAATAGACGGGCGGCGCGAGGACCCAAAAGCTCGCCGCGTGATCGACATTTTACTTTCAGGCTCTATTGGGTCGTTGGAACTTTGGCACTCGACCCGAGAATGTCCGGGCCTATGATTAGCTTAATTGACTCAAACTAAGAAAAACGTGTTAACAAAGATTATGCTTTTCCGACTGCGAAGGGGCTCGAATCCTCCAATAGTAGGACGCCGATGAACTTGGAGAAATAGCAATCCTTATACCCTAAAGAGATTGTTATGTCGAAGTTTTAGTTGGAAGTGTGCGTTGATGATATAAGGGTTTGTTATGCTTTGAAGAAATTCTTATCACTGCATGTGGATTATATCTGCCTTTTATATTTTTAAGAAACAAGTATTTAGGATACCGGATCCAGTGACAGAAGACTCGAGTCCGCACTCGGACTCGAGTCCGGACTCATCCATTTTTTTTTTGACTTATGGCTCGGACTCGGCTCGGCTCGGACTCATGGCCTTTTTTGGACTATAGGCTTGGCTCGGACTCGGCTCGTGGCTGACTCGGACTATGTAGGCCTATCAGACAAGTCCATTAAAAAAAAACTGTGTTTAAATTAAAGAAAAACTTAACCCTAAAAGGGCCGGGGGCGGAATCCGCCCCCCCTCGACTTTTTCCGCAATAGCCTTTAAAAAAAAACATTTCGCGATCCGAGCTTTTATGAATTTTTAGCCTCGAGCTTTGCGCATCTTTTGACACCCAAAACATAAAAATCAGACGAGGGGTTGTCGCGCAGCAAAATTTTTTCCGGCGCTATGCGCCGGAAAAACTGAATTTTCCCATATACGTCGTGCATGTACACAGGCCAAATTGCCATTCATACATATGAATAATTAATTAGCCATAATTCCAAAACCCTTTGACCTTTGGTCATGAAATTTCTTGGGTATGTTCATGAAGAGTTGTTCTATGCATGTACCGAGTTTCAAAATTTTTCGTCACTCGATGGCCGAGAATTGGGGGGGGGGCGGAATCCGCCCCCCCCCCCCCCCGGCTGAGAGATGGTCAAAATAACCCGGCCCCTTTAGGGTTAAATTGTTTTGAAAAACAGTCCTGCGTCTGTTGTCTGATCACTTTTATCTCTTGCCTGGGAAAATCTCTTCTTTTTAGCTGTAGAATAATGGCAAGAGACCGATTGGGTGCGCGCACTTGTTCTGCTATAAGAAAGACTTTCGCGACTGGACTCTCGACTATATGGACTCGGACTTGAGTCGGACTCAGTCAAAAAATAATGAACTTGCACTTGGCTCGAACTTGAGCCTACGGTGGACTCGGCTCAGCTCAGACTCGGATGAGGGGGACTCGGCCACACGATCGGATCCAAGCCACGAGAAAGTGTATTATTATACACTTTCAATTTAACTTGTTGTACTTCAGCAATTGGTAAATGTGGAAACACTGGTTGGCCTTTCGAGTTTACCTGAGACGAACGTTTCGCTTTAGTTGATACTGCATTTTTGGTTGGAAAATATTGTAACATGTTAACTGAAACAGTTGTGTTTTTGTAACTCACGCCTTGCCTCGTCCAATCGATTTTTTTTGTTTTACCCCAGTCACCGCATACAAAATACAAACGCTGCACAACCATGCAGACTTTTCCTAATTTGCAAACATCCAATACCAGGGTGAGAGAGAATGTGAGTGTACTGCTCGACACCATGGGAACGAGGTTGTCCCGTTCTCGCGTGACCCGCGAACAGTGTCCTTGGTTTTTTTCCCGATTATATATATTTTTAGGGCAACTTATCTCGAAGTGGCCGCGTGGCCTAATGGATAAGGCGTCCGACTTCGGATCGGAAGATTGAGGGTTCGAGTCCCTTCGCGGTCGTTTTTTTTTTTTTAGTTTTCACAGTTGCACACATGTCATTTAACGTACACTAATTGAGAGTTGGAGGCAAAATAAAATGTGACCAGATGTAAAAGTTGTAAATTGATTTATAATGTTATACAAGAAAAGTGTTATTAGCATATTGAGAATAAGAGGGCGCTGATTGATTTGGGTCAAGTATTTTGTAGCTAAACTCAAACCATCCCATTGTGTCCGCCATATCTAAAATAGGCTGATGATATACATGTATTATTTTTTTCTAAATGACAACTACATTGTACGTATTTTCAAGTTTAGGAAGACCACAGAAATAGAAAGGTCCCACCGAGATTCGAACTCGGATCGCGAGATTCAAAGTCTCGAGTGCTAACCATTACACCATGGGACCTTTTAAAGAATCCCAGCATATAATCATTATTATTTGTGAAAATGTTGCATTTTGTTGCCCAATTTGGTGATATCCAGTACGCAGTGCCCCTTTGAATCATTTGAACATCATTCTCGCGTTCATTCAAACGTTTTGGGGTTTTTTCACAAGACCCCAACCGACCCGAAAATCGCAAACGCAAAACCACAACCGACCTCAGCGACCCGACTGAAATGATGGAAAAACCGGCCGACCCGATCCGAACCGAAGTCAGGTTCGGGTCGGGTCGGTTTCGGTTTCGGTTCGGGTTTGCACAGCATAACGTCCTGATGCATTATACGTGTTTACCTTTGCAAATTATCGGTAAAGTGTTTATTTTTGCCACTTGTGTCGACGGTGTGGGCGTAACTGGTTTACAATAACTCAGACCTATTCCAGCCCAAATAGTCGTAGTTGAAGCAGTTAGGTACCGGGAACCATTTTGTAAAGCTCAACGACATTGCAGGTTTTTGGGTGCAGCTGGGGCTCTGAATAAAGATAATTGAGGCCTCCGTGTGAACATCAGTGATAATTTCGTCGAATTTATTGCCGAGCCACGGTATGGCGAGCAAAAATTAAATACTGGAAGAAAGGGTGTCTGGCATAGTGGGGACGTCACCTCATTGGAAAGAGAAGTGCGTCTAGGGGATAGGATAGAGTTTAGACGCTCTGAACTGGTGTTTGGACCAGACTTTGCCAGCGACTGTGTACATGGTTCAGAGCGCTCCAATTTACTGGATTTGATAAAGGAACATTTTCAGAACCGGTATTCACACTGGGGTACACCCAACAAAACATGTATACACCAACTTTAAATCCCTTTAAAGCCTGGTTCCTTACAAAATGGTAACCTTAGGCCTGTTGAAGCAAAACATTATGTAACTGTAATCGATTAAGAGCACAAAATCATATTTTTCGTTGTGACTGTTGGTCCGCCATGTTGGGGTATTTAATTTTGACAAGGCGTTTGTAATTAAGTTCGATGATTGAAGACACTGCCGCGCTTATGCCATGCTAACGTAACACTAGATCAATTTTATTCGACACGGCATAAGCACATTTGAAAGAGGCCTTACCAAATTGTTTATATTTTGGATCTGTGATGAACGGTAACCTGCTCGCATCCAATTACAGATGTGCACAATGTAGACCTACATATATCTTTGATATACGATCACTACGACGAACGGTAACCTTCACATTTGTTGTTATTTTAGGATGTGAAACAAATGGTAACCGAACGGTATTTTTTATGTACTACGAGGCAGTGAACGTGTTTCAGTGAGGTCAGAGGATGTTTTTCAGGCAAAACTATTTAGGCAAAAAAGTAATTGATTATTTTTTTTTATTCACATGCTTACTTTGATTTTTGTTCTTTTAACTGATTTGTTTAACTTTTTATACTTTTTTGATTAAATTTTTTATATAGATTCATATGGAACCTTCGTTTTTCTTATAAAGTGTATGCAATGGTGTTGATGTATCTTTTAAATCAAACGTTTTTTTATTTTTTTCATATTTTTTTGGCATTGGAAATGGCACGTTGCGTTTATTCAAACTGTAATTGGTAGTTTTATAGTTATTTATATTATTTTTTACCCATCTAGGCTGTTAATTTCATATTCAAAATATGCTGTGTTTTTGTGGGTGTTTTGAAGTTGCTTATTGTTTAGATCCGTGAATGGTTTATACTTCAATCCGGGATTGTGCAGTGCTTAATTCACTAAACTCATTTCTAGCCAGTCTCAAGACACACTTCCATGACCAGCTCACATTATAGCGCAATTTACTTAATCTTAAGTTTAATCTTCGGGCTTCCCTTTATTGTGTTATTTCCCTGCCATTTGTAATCTTGTTCTTGCGTATTTGTTTGCCTTTTTTGTCCTGTTCATTTGTCATTATGTGCGGGTCCGCATGCTTCCGAGCAACAGTGATTAGATTCGCTTTTGCGGTCCCTGACCCACATAATCGTTTTCTTTGTGATTTTTTGTGTCTTACTGGTTATTGTTCAACTCCCAATTGGGAAGCCCACTCCAGCTGTCATTTAAAGTGCATGCCCTCTACTTCATGATTTTTTTAATAATTTAAATTTTAATTTAAATTTAAATTACATGTTTATACGTTTCTTTTGTTGTGCCTTTCAACCACTTTTGTGTAATTTTTGTTTGGTTTTGTATCACTGTTTGTAATTCTTTGTTGAGGTCGAATAAATAATAATAATATTAATAATTATATTTTATTTATTGACTTTAGTTTTATCCAGTATTATATACAAATGAATAATGTTTTGTTTGAAAGTGTTTATATTTCAATGTTCATGCTTTCCGATTTTATTTTTCTATGAAGATCTGTGCTGGATGTGTTAATTTCGTTACGTATAAAGTTTGGATTAAAAATGAAATAACATGAGAAAAATGGCATGAACGATATCACTTAACATGTGTTAATTTAAAAAAAATTAATAAATAATAAAATACACTTTTAGTAAAAGTTTTACTAGAGTTATCGCATTACAATTACAATGAAAAGTTATACTAAACAGCATCACTGTAACACATGTAACTTGAACTGAATGGGGAATGTTTGAAAACGTGCATAATGAGTCCGAGTTGGTTGTGGGTCCGATTTGGTAGTGGGTCCGAATTGGCATGGGTCCGAGTTGGCTTGGGTCCGATACGTACATGTACACAGAGATGTTGAAGACCCCTTTAGCATTATGTAGATAGTGCAGTGTAGACCTCTTTAGCACTGTGTAGATGCTATAGATCTATTTAGCACTGTGTAGATGCTGTAGACCTTTTTAGCACTGTGTAGATGCTGTATACCTCTTAACCACTGTGTATAGCTGCTGTAGACCATGATGTAGACCTCCTTAGAACTGTGTCGATGCTGTAGACATCAAAGCTCTGGCACTGTGGCGGAAACTAGTTCCAATTAATATTATATTGAGGGATGTTTCGCATGCTCAGTAGTGTGTAGCGTGTAGTGTACTACACGACGTGCGGTCTGTGAACCTGGTCTCAAACGTTGCATCATATGTGATGATTTGTTATTTGATTTTTGACCTCTAGTCAGAGACCTTATCTTGCGTTTACTTGATGAGTAATGTTGTGTGGTGAGGTAGGGGACTAGACATGCAGAAGGTATATAAAATTGCGCACGTGTTTAGCCCGCGTAGTTGATGCATTGACATGATTGAGGCACAAACGGGTTATAGCTCATGGTACAGTTAATTTTTAACGCTTGTTAAACAATCTAAATATGGCAGAATTTGTTCATCAGAACCTAGAGGAAACTCTGTTGGAGCTAGAACAATTGGAACGTGTTGGCTTGTTCACGAAAGCAGAAATAAAGTAAGTAGATGGTTGCAAAGTTGCAGCGCAAGTGCCAAAGACACGGGTGACGAAATAGCGCCACCTATCTGCCTATCCGCGGGGGGGGGGGGGGGGGGGGGGGGGGGGGGGGGGGGGGGGGATAGATAATCATGGAGGAATAAAACACAGAAAAGACTAGTATAGTCAGAGTATAGGCCCTAGTCTCCCTAGATATTTGATTCACTCTACGTTAAGTAGTGTACAAATGTATGTGACATCAGTATTTCTCGATTTTTTAAATTTAATTTACCTTATTTAGTGATTAGTTATTTGTCTGTTTGTTACTTCAATACTTGTTTTGGCAGTCTGACAATTTGGCAGATAATCGTAACTAGTAAAGTAAAACTTGTAGAAGAAATGAATATTCAATATGCATTTGTAGCGTAGAAAAATGGATCACTAGAGAAAAAAACCTGGTTCCAATGATTATGTCGCGACTTAGCTTTTTAAACTGGGACAAAAAAAGAAAAAGAAAAGGAATCAAGGAAACAAAAATAGACTTCTCACAAAATTTAATTTAGTCTCAAAAACATCGTCCAACAAACAAAAACAATTTCTATCCTTAAGCGCAAAAAAATAGTTTCCAGAAATACTTCAAGGCAAAAAATCTCAATCAGGATCAATAACGAATAAAACACTCAAAAGAATATGCCAGGGATAAAAAAATAAACAATTTGATAAAAAACTAAGTTAAAAGAATAAAAACCAAAGGAAAAAAAAAGGAAACAATAGGAAACAGAAGGAAAACAGAAGGAAACAGAAGGAAACGGAAGGAAACAGAAGGAAACAGAAGGAAACCCACACAGCACTAAAGGAAATGACTCTAAAAGCACAGGAATGAACTAAAAACCTGCAACAAGAAAATAAGAAAGAAACAAATGGCAATTTAAAAACAGTTCTTATAAAACAATACTCCTATGAAACTACAGTCCTTGTACTAAAGTATCCTCTAAGCAACAAAAGGGTCCAAATGCAAGTTTACCACTGTGTGCACAAGGGATTAACGCACTATGGACTGCAAGATACTGCACAGTTCAATGGGCCTCATAATGATATGCAAATCCTCTGGACTGTCTCAATAAACTACTACTTCTAGGAAGGAGGGAAGGAACAAAGGATTAAGGCATGGTCTAGGCTAAATGAATGGATACAGGTCTACGTCTATGTCCAAGTACATGTAGTCAAAAAGAGCAACTACAAAAATCTAGAAAAATATGAACATCCACTCAAAATGCAAGAAAAAGGAACTTAAACTCTGAGGATATCATACACATGAAACTTAATGCAGGTAACCCTAGACTCAAGCAATTAAAACTTGGACAAACTTATATTAACAAAACTTATTAGAAAATCACACATTTTCAATACTTTCCAAGAAAAGGACTTCTCAAATGTTTAGAAATGAGCCAAAAGAATAATCAAGTTGGAATAAAAAACTAAAAACAGTAATCAAAAGTTTCAAAGTTTCTAAACAAAAAGGCTAGTTAAAACGACCTCTAAGAAAAGAGCGGAGACACAAACAGTTTAATGTATAGGAAAAAGAACTCTATCTTAAAAGGAGCTAAAAATGACACTGAACTGGATAATATGTGTATCATAAAGGCAAATATAAAACTGGAACTATACAATAATAAGGAAAGTAATGAAAACTCACCAATGACTGGACTAGCAGACAAAAGAAACAGCTAGGAAGACACTCTCCAGGTAGGAGGAAATATATGATTATATGATGTTAAGTTGTCTCACTGCTGGTCTGCTGGGTAATAATCACCCTGGCATGACAATGTGGCAGTTTTTTATAGGGGGGACTTGTGGGCTAAAATAAACAAACAGGGGGTCACACTACCAGGAAAAGGGGGGGGGGGGGAAGACATCTAAAATTCAACTAAAATGATTTTCTTTTCTAAGGGGAGCTACTCCTATTTAATACACTATGAAAATACACAAGGAAAACTTGGCCCTGCCACACATTCTCTAAGTAAATAACACAATTTTGTTAATGATGATATTTAAAATTTGATATTTAACTAAAATGTGCTTTTCCCACTTTTCAAAGAACAATTGTAAAGAAGAGAACCAGTTTTGAGTATCGCCTTGTCCGACTCAAGAAGGATAAACAAGATTTCCTGCGATATATACAGGTTTGTCAAGTTGAGCTTAAATACGGATTCCTTAAGTTAAGTTATACTAGTCAAATACGTGTGGTGATTTATTCAAATAGCAGCCTGAGAGTCTCAGACCTTTATAACTCGAGTACAGAAAATTGAGACAAAGTCAGGCTAATGGGCTAACTTTACTCTTAATAGCCAACCATAATGTACGCATGTCAGACTTTAGTCCCATAAATTACTCCTAGAACTATGAGGCTCCACGTAGTGGAGCCTCATAGATCAAGAAGCCCGCAAAATTGCCTGCAGCACAAAACACTAATAAAGTACAAAAACGTCCATCAAAATGGAGACATTTCACACAGAACCACTGCACAGTTTGCCCCTATACTCCGTACTTTATCTCTTGACATACTCACGTATCATGCGCAGAACTAACATAGGTTGATTCTGTCGGTTTTTAGGCCAAAATGATGAAAAAAATGCCCTTTCCGCACTGAGCCAACCTGACACTTGAAACGTGCACGCATATGATCGAGCGATGATTTTCGGTTCGCTCGGAGCGCGCCGCGGGGGGTACGGTACAAGTGAAATGATAGTATGTGCATGCGTACAAGTGCATGTACCGTACCCCCCGTGGTGCGCTCCGAGCGAACCGAAAATCATCGCTCGATCATATGCGTGCACGTTTCAAGTGTCAGGTTGGCTCAGTGCGGAAAGGGCATTTTTTTCATCATTTTGGCCTAAAAACCGACAGAATCCACCTATGTTAGTTCTGCGCATGATACATGAGTATGTCAAGAGATAAAGTACGGAGTATAGGGGCAAACTGTGCAGCGGTTCTGTGTGAAATGGCTGCATTTTGATGGACGTTTTTGTACTTTATTAGTGTTTTGTGCTGCAGGCAATTTTGCGGGCTTCTTGATCTATGAGGCTCCACTACGTGGAGCCTCATAGTTCTAGGAGTACCCATAAATGTGACTGACATACTGGACGACCTCCGTATATTGAGCCACAGTGCCACATACGGCCTGTGAGCGGATGGTCCCGTTGCTAGGGCAGCCGAAAATCAATCAAAGATCCAAATTATTTTGTCAGCAGAAAATCAACCCAGCTATAGTATGACTGCTAAATAGCACAAAAAAAGTTAAATTTGGTACCTTCAGAGGTGTAGTTATCCAAAAATTATGTGAATTCGGCAAAGAATTCCGACAGTTTTGAAAAAGCATGGCGTGTCTGATATTTACCAGACTGTTTTCCGGCCACCCTAATATGAGACCATGCCCCGACTTACATACGTGGGGCGCACTAGTGAGTGCCTTTCCATTAGTACGCCAGTGTTAACAATGTAATTTGAGTGACCAAAATCCCCACCCTGGGGCATGAAATTTATGCATAATTTACTTCCGTATTTATGTAAATTTACTTCCGTCATGTTTTAATTCTTGTTTTACCTTAGCATCTAACGTTCATGTATATAATACTCGAAGTAGTGCTAGGGGAAATTTGTTTGTCCAATTTAACAGAACGTCAATGTCAAAAAATAGTGTTATTCACCGAGGCACTTTGTACTGGAATAGTTTAGATGATACTCTTAAATCGTTACTTTCACTATCTGTCTTTGTCAAAAATCTAAAAACTCGTTTTCTTGAATCATATTCATAAATTGAAATTCCATTATTTTGTGTATTAATATTTAGGCCTTGTCTCACGCTTGTCCTGTCTGTCTCACGTATTGTTTTGTTTGTCCCTTGGTCGTATGTTTGTCCATAGGTAAGGGCACAAAAGCGTTCTGCTTAACCTTATACCTAAATGTTGTCATTTAATTTCACACTTTATAATTAATCACTGTGTACATATCTATCTAATATTATACTAGTGACTTTTTCTAATGTATACATGTTTGTACATAATTGTAATGAATGACATCATTGAAATGAATGTTACTACTGCTGAAAAACGGGGGGGGGGGGGGGGGGGGGGGGCGCGGGACATATGATAGGCACATTAGATAGGCACATTATGAACACACACAGAATTTTAAGCCACTTTATAATGTAGCTTTGATTAATGTGATATTAACTGCTCGTAATGATGTTTTATTTTGTAAACGTCTTATTAATCCCACAGTATGAGATCAACCTCCTGTCATTAATCAGGAAGAGAAGAGAGGTAAGTGTGTAAACAAGACCATAGTCATAAATACCTCAGACAGTTTAGCTATTCCTATTGGTCGAGAGCCCGTCACGTGGCCGGTCTTAAACGGATGATAAAGACATGGCTAGCTGGTCTTAAACACTTTTCCAGTGTCACAATAAAATGTGGACTCCTAAAAATCCAGTGCCTCTTATCGTTTCATTGGTTGAACGTTTACAATCCTCACGTAGGCATGCGCAACACTACCAGGGAGTCAGAATTTTAAAGTTCTAAATTCAAAACGCAACGCGCCAGGTGCGTTCTGCGCGAAATCGCGCAGAACACGATACGCGCGCGTCAATCTCCATAAAAGGGCTGTTTACATCTTACTCGCCAGCTGAACACTCCATTATTTTGCAAGAGGGATGTTTCAAAAAGCATAAAGTGAATTTGTTGAACAAAATCGGGATGTTTTGAACGAATTATATGATTTTTTCTTACCGAAAAGGTATTTATGAATGGGAATAAATATGTGCTCGGTCGGTATTTATCACTCTGTTTAAGACCACTTAGAATCTAGGTGCTGATAATTACCCTCGCCTCCGGCTCGGGTAATTATCAGCACCCAGACTCTAAGTGGTCTCAAACAGAGTGATAAAAACCTCCGAAGCACACATTTATTCCCTTAGTCATAATAAATTTGATCTGGTGAAAGGCAATGTGATGTGTGTAATCCTGCATTGGATCTTTGCTTGTTCCTTAATAATTCCTGTGAATTTTCATCTTTATTTTCTTTTGTTTTCCCCCAGCGAATTGGATACTTCTTTAAGAAGGATGAGATTGAGTATGCAATCATCAAACGAATCCAGAAACTGTTCGGGGTAAAGTGTTATTTACACACAACGTTAAAAGAAAAAAAAAGTGGAATTGACATAACTGATTAAAGGGAAAATACAACATTTGCAAACATCAAAAAATAAAACTACCAAATCATTTTGAAATACCTTGCTGGACTGTTAGTGAATGACAGTGTAAAGCATCCTGTAAAATCATGGCACCTGGTATACTGTCATTTTCAAGAAAAGTGGTATTTTTGGATCAATTTCCAACGCTGATCGGCCGATCAGCGTTGGAAACAACTGGGTTTTTTTCAAATACTGGCCCCAATTGACCATCGCACTTGTTTGCAATCGATTACAAACCTATGAACGGGTACGAGCCAGCTAGACTGGTTCCCTGACCTTACAATTCCCAAATGTATGTAAACTGCTCTGTTTCTCCTTATATGGAGTCAGGGAACCAGACTACAAGAAAATGATCGTTTTTCTTGGTTTTTATAGCATTTTCGAACCCAAAACCTCAAAAAAAGTCAGTGTAACTATATTTGCTATATATTTCCAACCCCCCAATTCCATCCATTTCTGAAAATTACAGCAAAAGCAAATGATGTATATTCCCTTTAAGATACAAATGCAGAATGGTAATTGGAAAAAAGAATTGTTCAACGCTTGATGGACATTTGTTAACCTTTTGAAATTCACAATTGATTGGACTGATTGATGTATTACTTTGTTACTGTGAACAGAGAGCCTGCACCATGTTCTGTGATGATCAGAAGCTGTGGTTCTCGCACATGCAGTTTTGCAAGAAATGGGTAAGAAAAGATTGTACAAGTAATCCATCCAGAAATTAATCGATGACCTGCAATGTAATACATTTTTTTGTCGGGAATTATGTCGTTGGGGTTTCCCCAGTCTGAAAATTTGGGACTCAATATTTGTACGAGAGTTCCAAACTAAGGGAAAATACAACATTTGCAAACATCAAAAAATAAAACTACCAAATCATTTTGAAATACCTTGCTGGACTGTTAGTGAATGACAGTGTAAAGCATCCTGTAAAAATCATGGCACCTGGTATACTGTCATTTTCAAGAAAAGTGGTATTTTTGTATCAATTTCCAACGCTGATCAGCCGATCAGCGTTGGAAAAAACTGGCTTTTTTTCAGATACTGGCCCCAGTTGACCATCGCACTTGTTTGCAATCGATTACACACCTATGAACGGGTACAAGCCAGCTAGACTGGTTTCCTGACCTTACAATTCCCCAATATATGTAAACTGCTCTGTTTCTTCTTAAATGGAGTCAGGGAACCAGACTACAGGAAAATGATTGTTTTTCTTGGTTTTTATAGCATTTTCGAACCCAAAACCTCAAAAAAGTCAGTGTAACTGTATTTGCTATATATTTCCAACCCCCAAATTCCATCCATTTCTGAAAATTACAGCAAAAGCAAATGATGTATATTCCCTTTAAGATAGTAAAAATATGCAATACAAGAAAATGGACTGGCACATGAAACAACCAGTCCAACAACCCTTTAGCACTGCATCAGTCAACTGTGCCAAAATAAAGGTCTGGTACCTAGCTCAATTTTTCTGCACATTTTCTATGGTCATGCCACCACACTAATGAAGAGTCGATCTTTGCCAGAAGTTGGACATGCACCAGTCTAGTTTTTAGCTTCAAATTGAAATCACTTGGCTTCACTCTCAGGTACAAATTGTCAAAGAAAAGTCTCCTTTAAAAATTGAATTGAGACCTCAAGCTTGACTGGTGAAATACTGAGGACTATGTCTTTGCCCCATGAAACTTGTGTAGAAAGTTGTCCTGATCTTGTTTTGAATGTTTTTCTGCACTCACGGTCCCAGTCTGCGGTTTCCCCTTCACTGTACATTTATTTTAAAGCAATTCATTCGTGGTTCTGTCTGAGAGCCTTCGAAAAAGAAATTCATGAAATTGCTTGGGTGGGACTTGAACCCATGACCTCTTGTTTACTAGTGCGGACATCTAACCACTCGACCATATCGTCGCTTTGCTCACGAAGTGACAAAAACCTCGAAAATCGATAATTATTCGATTTTGACTTTTACTAGCCATTTTATTATAGTTGTCTCAAGGAACAATTTGACCAAGTTTCAAGGCAAAATGTTGTTTACTTTCTTAATTATTGTAAACAAACAATTGACAAAAAGCCTGAAATCGGTGATTTTCATTTTCACCAAGTGTAAATATGTGTAAAATGTTCTCACGAAGTGACAAAAAGTCACTTCATGAGCAGGGCCAGAAATTATACAATGGTCTACACGCGGAAGGATGGGAGCATACACGCGCGCGCGAACGATGTTGAAAAAGAACAGACGCGCGCGCGCTCAACTGTCGTGACACGCAAAAGTAACAAGTTTGTTGCGTCGAAAAAAATCCCACGAAGTGACACAAACTGTGTACAAAGTAATCGGCAAAATATGGGACCCAAAGTTTTGATGTTATCACGAAGTGCAAAAAAGTTTTATTAATGAATTACTGTTTAATTACGAACTATTTTAAACAAACAACTATGAATTAACAAAGAGCAAATCATATCCTATCGGACAATGCAAAAATTTCCGAATTCTGTTACTGCAAAGTGGTCGAAAATGTCTTTTGAAAAAATGAATAACTTCAAATGCGATTACCTCAGAATGAACTTTTGTCAAATTTTTAGGTTTTTGTCACTTCGTGAGCAAAGCGACGATATGATCATGCTAGAGTTGGCTAACCCGTTCAAATCACATACAGCACCAGATAATGACTGAATGACTTGAAGGAAAAGTGGGAAAGAATGAAGTATCCAGACGCCACATCAGCGGTTGTGTACAAAGTCTATGGAGAGTCAAGAACATTTTCAAAGTATTTCCAAACAAAATTGGAAATGTTTCAGTCCCGTTTTCAACATTTTTGCAGTGACTGACCTTCTTTGAGATGATATATATGATGAGAAAAGTGGTATCAGGTTGCAACATTTTTCCCCAAAAACTGTTTTGGCAGGGAAGAAATAAATCATAAGGTCTTTCCTTTATTTGGGACTAAGTTATTGTTTGAGAGGGAGTGCAGTTATTATTTTCTGAATCATAATTTTCTAAAACAGTGTTTTTAGTCTGTATCCATTTTGTGTGCTTAAAGCTATAGTCCATCATTTGTAATTAGTGTATTTTGTTCGTTTGAAGCAACAAAAGTGTTCAAAATCTAATGAAGGATACTGAACAACTAACCTGATGAAGTTTCAGCTAAGCTTCAGCTGTACATTCCGAGAAAAGCAGCATGCTAAGATCTCAATTTCAAATCAAAAGTTACTGAATCATGTTTTGAATTGGGCCTGAATTGCAGCTATACGCGGCGTCGCACACTGATCCGACGAATTATAACAACTGTGCGCGCGCGTGCGTCGTTCCAATACTTGTGCGCGCTGCGCTGAATAACAAAACGAACTACTAATTTTAATTTTCCTACGGTGCTTCTTAAGAATCACCGTTGGAAATGCCTTCTTTCGTTGATTACTTCAAAATGACAGCTTCCCAGAAAGAATAATTTCACAGGGAGTTTAGTTCCCTTACTATCTTTCAACCAAGTTTGTTTTTCAACAGTAATTACGCCAGTTACTTTTCGGATGGCTGCAAATGATGGACTATAGCTTTAAACAAAACTTATTCCTCTCGCTTGACAGAACATGAAGAACGAGTTGAGTAAATTGTTTGCAAGGCTACTCAAGGTGCACTCCAAAAACCCCGGTGAGACGTCATTCTAACTTTATATATACATCGTATTACAGTCATTCTTTTCTCCAGCAATTTAATTGTCTCCGTGCCCTCTATCATCGCTATACTAAGAAGTAACGGTGTATGTGTGGTGTGAGTTGCTCGACAACCTCCCCCCATGTAGCGTTTCGTAATTTATAAATGAAAGAATTGATGTTCTCTGTTTATAGCGTTAGTCTAAAATTGTCACACTCAACTTTGGTCGATTTTGTTGTGCAGCATTGTGGATCATAGCAGCCAAGTTCCAGATGGAGGAAATCATGTCGGCTGAGAACGCTAGGAGTCTGTTACTACGAGCCATCAGGCTCCACCCACAGAACCACAAACTCCGGGTTGAGGTATGTTCCAACCGATCCACTTCCTTTATGAAGGAATTTTGGGGAAAAGGGGAATATCAAGTTGAATTTTGGATTTTACCCTTCATTTGTGTAACTTTTGAACCACAGTATATTCCTCTGAGGTAGTGTGGCCAAGGGGGTAGGATCGTGTCTCAAGATCAGAGGGTCAGGGATTCAAATCAAGCTGCTGGCCATTTGTTGTGTCCTCGGGCAAGCCATTTCACCCCCACTTGCCCCTCTCCACCAAGGAGAATAAATAGGTACCGGCATAAGCTGGGATAACCTACGATTGCCTAGCATCCCATCCAGGGGGAGTAGAAATATTCTCAGTCGTTTCATGCTACTGAAACTGGAGATTAAACGCCGGCTGATGGGCCAAATTGGCTTGTGACAGACTTCACGTTTGTTTTTTAACTTACAATAAAAAATATCCAAGCATACCGAAGTTTAACCCTAACCCCCTAGGCCCTTGTTACTTACAACCATCCTCAATCCTCCAAAATCCTCCAAAATTTTCCAAAATTTTGCAACTCCGCCTACATTTTTCAAAATTGTCAGACAGTCCTGCCTCAAAATGCATTCATCCTCAATCCTCCAAAATCCTCCTCATCCCAAAACTTTGCACTCGTGTTTAAATGAAGGATAACCAACGCCAAATCCTTCAAAATCATCAGACAGTCCTGCCTCAAAATGCATTCATCCTCAATCCTCCAAAATCCTCTTGTGCTTCAATCACCATTCATCCTCAATCCTCCAAAATCCTCATGTGCTTCAATCACCATTCATCCTCAATCCTCCAGAATCCTCATTTGATTCAATCACCATTCATCCTCAATCCTCTAGAATCCTCCAAAACCGCCAGGGGGATTTTGGAGGAGTGAGGTGGGTTAGGGTTATTAAGCATATTTATCGGCCCCTATCGCTTTCAAATTAATGCCTGCCTTCAAAGGATGAGAAACGAGTTTTCCTACCGTATATATGCAATGCATGCTGCAGTGGCCGGCTTCTGGCCAGTTCCTTCTCACTGCTTCCCTGGCCATCACAAGACTTGCGGATGACGTTCTCAATTGCCTCCATGGTGGCATCCTCTGCTGGGTCGCTTGACCCCTGGCTTTTAGCCCCATCCTTCTTACCTCTCTGCACCCCAGGAGTATAAATGGGTACCGGCATTAGCTGGGGAGTAACCTGCGATGGGCTAGCATCCCATCCAGGGGGACAGAAATATTCTCTGTCGTTTCATGCCAAGGAAACCGGAGATACATGCTTGCGCTTGAGGACAGGAGGTCATTGGTTCGAGTCCCTCCAAAAGCTAGTTTGTGATTTTTTTTCTCATCGCCTGGACTAGACTTGAGGGTGAGGGAAGGGCATGTATTTTGTTTAACAAGTTTTGTCTCTTCTTGTTTTCTAACAGTATTTTCGGATGGAGCTGATGCATGCGGATAAGGTAATACCACAGTTTTGGGTTCTCCATAAGATTAGCATCACCAATACAGTGTGATTTGCTAACTACTTTCTGTGAGATAAACTTTTACAATCTTGCTCAGTAAAGATTCCTACCCATGTCGAACATTTACAAATAGCCACATGTCCACTTAGTCAGTGGCTGATTCTCATCTTACAGAGCAGTTGATGAATAGCTGCCAGGAGTGAATATTTGGTGGGATTTGTACCAGGCTGTTGGGTCGTGCTGAACAAGCAGTAATAAACTTTACATCTGGGCAATTTTAGCATTGTGGAAAAAAATGTTGTCCAATTACATCAAATACAAATGGACACGGAGCGCGCAAAATCTGAGACAAACAAAACTTAGTGCACAAAAATTCCGTAGGGTTGTCTAAGGGGTGTGGCTAACTCGCAAACGGCGATAGGTCAATTACCCATGATATCTAATTAATGTTTCAGAGAAATGATCCAAAACTCCTAGTCTGTAATCTCCTGGACCATTACTAGATGATGGATGTATAAGCTATGAAAAATACATTTTTAGGTTTATTCACTGAGCTCTTAAAAAAAAAAAAATGTCTGATTTAGATAGATAGATAGATAGATAAATGGTTTATTTTCATTAGACTTGATGTGGCAATCAAAGATTGAATTGGATCAAGTCAACAGATAAAAATGCTAATACAAATACATTAAATTTGTAATGTTCATGCTTTGCAGTGAACAAGCAAAACTCCCATAGAGATGTACATATATACATGGGGATACTCAAAATCTTCATTGGTTCTCCAATGTGCAAACCCTGGGGATGTTAAAGCTATAGTCCATCATTTGCAGCCATCCGAAAAGTAACTGGCGTAATTACTGTTGAAAAACAAACTTGGTTGAAAGATAGTAAGGGAACTAAACTCCCTGTGAAATTATTCTTTCTGGGAAGCTGTCATTTTGAAGAAATCAACGAAAGAAGGCATTTCCAACGGTGATTCTTAAGAAGCACCGTAGGAAAATTTAAATTAGTAGTTCGTTTTGTTATTCAGCGCAGCGCGCACAAGTATTGGAACGACGCACACGCGCGCGCGGTTGTTATAATTCGTCGGATCAGTGCGCGACGCCGCGTATAGCTGCAATTCAAAACAATTCAAAACATGATTCAGTAACTTTTGATTTGAAATTGAGATCTTAGAATGCTGCTTTTCTCAGAATGTACAGCTGAAGCTTAGCTGAAACTTCATCAGGTTAGTTGCTCAGTATCCTTCATTAGATTTTGAACACTTTTGTTGCTTCAAACGAACAAAATGCACTAATTACAAATGATGGACTATAGCTTTAATTAGACTTTTCTGTTGTGATAACAGCAAAGGAAGCGATGGGCCTTGCTACAGCAGAGCAACATGGAGACCACAGAGGAAGGCATGGAAGACGCTGTACTACAAGGCAAGGTGGCCAGGGTTGTCTACAAGATGGCTGTCCAAGACATGCCAGGTAAGGGTATAACCCCGGTAAATAGACCAAAAATCCATCCGCCGAGCTCATGAATAAAAGTTATACACGCAAATTATTTTGTATATGAGAGTTCTGAGAGCCGTGGAATAAGGGAATTGAAAACATATGGCGCTGCACCTCTGGTCTGAACTTGGGGCTTCCAATTCTGAGCATTTTGGATGCAATTGGGTCCAAAAGTGGCACTATTTGGCCATGTTGTGAAGGGATCGTTTTTCAAAATGGCTGCTTTTCCAGATCTGGAAACGTCAGTCCGTTTAGGGATGGTCTTCTTTGGGTGAGAATTTCTCCAGAAAATCCACCAAAAATTGAAAAGCAAATGAACGATGACATGTTGATCGTAATGCAGCCTGAACACCTGTGAGAGTTCCGAGTAGTTTGAAAAGAATTTTGAAGTATGGGGAGCATTAAACACTAGTGTCTATTGGAACTTTGACATTGGGGTGTAACCATAATGTGTGAAAGCAGTAAATGCTCTGTGCATGAACGACAGAGGGCGCAATTTAGGGGAGCATGAAGGCAAACATTTGATCAACTCTCATCAAACGCATGTAGTTTGAGTAGTTAGAAAAGAATTTTGAAGTATGGGGAGCATTAAACACTAGCGTCTATTGGAACTTTGACATTGGGGTGTAACCGTAATGTGTGAAAGCAGTAAATGCTCTGTGCATGAACGACAGAGGGCGCAATTTAGGGGAGCATGAAGGCAAACATTTGATCAACTCTCATCAAACGCATGCGGTAATACATCATCACTGTCCAAGATGCCTGTAATATCAGTTAACTTCATTTTTTTCTTTTCTCAGCTGACATAAGTCTTCACCTTGCTTTCGTTCCCGTCTGCAAGAAGTTTGATTTTACAACAGATCTGGTACAAGAGATATATCAAGAGTAAGTGCCAAGTAGGAAGATTAGGATACCCATTGTGATACATTTAATATACGGAGTGAGTAAAAAAAACAACAAAAAAAACACCTTTTTTATCAAAGTCAATTTTCTCAGAAAAAGAACATGGGTGGCCACAATTTATTTCACCAGAATTATGTCACGGCTAATCTGAATAGATCATGCAAATTTAATTAATGTGGAGCTAAGCATTACGATTATGTAAGCACTTGTTTAATGTGTCCTCAATTTAATACCATTCCAAACCCTATTTTAACATGTGGTCCATACTGATCATTAGGATTAGTGTTGATAAGAGTCTTAAAGAGGTTGTGGAATGCTCGAAGACATTTTCGTCATTTTTCGGGTATATGTAGCCTAAGGTGTGATGAAATAAAAACGACTATAGTGTCTGTCATAAAATGAGTACAAAAGGTACTTTTGAGAGCTGTTTTTCAAGTCCTGTCATGCCTGTTTCGACCGAACGTGCAATTTGTGTAAAAGTTGTCGTTGCGGGCAGCAAACAAAACACAGTAAATCATGACGTAATAAACAGGACTCCCGATGCAGAGTAGCATATACGAGTCCTGTTTATTACGTCACGATTTACTGTGTTTTGTTTGCTGCCCGCAACGACGACTTTTACACAAATTGCACGTTCGGGTCGAAACAGGACCTGAAAAACAGCTCTCAAAAGTACCTTTTGTACTCATTTCAAGACAGAAACAATAGTGGTTTTTATTTCATCACACCTTAGGCTACATATACCCAAAAAATGACGGAAATGTCTTCGAGCATTCCACAACCTCTTTAAAGGGAATATACAACATTTGCAAACATCGAAAAATAAAACTACCAAGTTTTTACAAAATACCTTACTAGGATGTTGGTAAATGACAGTCTAAAGCATCCTGTAAAATAATGGCACCTGGTGTGAAGTCATTTTCCAGAAAATGGTATTTTTGTATACATTTCCAACGGTGGTCGGCCGACCACCGTTGGAAAAACCTAACTATTTTTCAACTATTGCTCCAACTTTACACTTTTTTCGGTCCAAATTGTGTTTGCTATTGGTTACATGTTCATGAACGGGTGCAGGCCAGCTAGACTGGTTCCCTTACCTTACAATTTTCTGGCATCTATTAATCCCTTTAATTCTATTTCTGAGAAAATTGACTTTGAAAAAAAAAAAGTGTTTTTTTTTTTTACTCACCCTGTATGTTGAAACTTTGTTTTCTATTCACAAGAGGATAATTTGTTGGCTAAAATATGCAACTTGTTCTCAATTTAAGGTTTCTTTTTGAGATGATGAGTTTGTAATCCTTGCTTATCGTTGCCTTGTTACACACAGCTTGATGGAAGCTCACCCGAATAATGAACATGTGTGGGATGCTGTTGCTAGACGACATCTTACAGCAAGCCTGTTCGGTATGACGATATTTCACGATATTTCGATTACATTTTCATATCGGAAATCGTATCGATCTCATACAAGAAAATCGGCACATCGTGACATCGGCACATCGATATGCCGAAAAATATCGCGATATTCTTTTGAGGTACCGCTTTTGTAACCAAAGTCAATCCCTTAAAGCTTGAAACTGTCGCTAAAGCGCTCCCATGAAAAACCGCTAACCACAAATTCACTGTTACCGCATTGTACCGCGAGGTCTTACCTATTCAGGGGCGGAACCAACTGACTAACGTCACGTGTATTGGATTTTGCGTCTTCCACGCACGCTGCACGTGGCAGTACAAACACCCAGTTTCACCCCACATACCAAGTGCCAAAATCGTAATCACGTGCGTGGAGTTAACCGAAGGGAAACAAAGTCTCTGACATTTCGCAAAGAAAATACGGTGCCTGTTTTGTTCTGACGGAAATGTGAAGTTGTACAGACAAAACAACGCAAATACATGTACTTGAATTGTAGATTACGACGTTGAGAAGTGAATGTTTCGTTTCAGCACGCGGCTAGAGGAGACCACGCCGAGCCCGCAAATTTTCTTTTTCCAGCCCAAACGACATCCGCATACGCACGTTAAGCGCCCTCTACGATACTTTTATGACACGGGGGCACTATATTTATTAGTTTTCCAAGTTTGAAGCGAGCAGTGTGACAGCTCAGTCGATAGTACATTGGATTATGAACCGCGAGGTCGCGGGTTCGAATCACGGTAGTGCATAAAATATTTTTTTTATTTTCTAACCTGAGGCTTGGGAGGATTTTTTTAAAAAGGGAAATAAAGCCCGAATTTCATGTATTTATATTTGTGATTTTCTTCTCATGTTTTTAAAAAAGTATAGTCCAAAACGCCATGGCGTATTTGCGGATATCGTTAGGGAGAGAAAAAAAATCGCAGCTGGGCTGGGCCGACTCCGCGTAGGCGAACTAGATCAAATTTTCCTGCACGTATTTTCCTGACTCGTTCCTTCTCTTCCGTGGTTGTGCCTGGGCACTTACACTTGCTTAGTGCCAAAACTGTCCCAAACTTATGAAATCTGTTCATATTTTCAGCAACAAAAAACGTCAAAACCCGAATGTTCAGTCGTGCCTTTTATTTCGTTCACAGAGCAGAAAATGCGTCACAAGAAATTGGACTGATCCATTAGTTTTTGTAAAGGGGTGCTTCACCCTCATTTTGGAGTTAACATCGTTTTTCGAAAAAAATCTTTAGAAAAAAAAAAATGTTGTTAGTTTGTAACGATGAAGAACTTTTTCTGAACCAGGAAATATTTCGGACTCCATTAAAAAATATTTGTAATTCTGAAAAGGTGGAAATACTGGTAAATTGTTTTCAATGAAGCACACCCTTGACTACAAATGGTGTGGGCCGTACTATGAGTGCACGTGGGGATCAGTGCGGCGTGCATTGCGTGCTAGTGCTTCGTTCTTTCCTCGATATGGATTTCTATCTGCACATTTTTATCCAACATTTCAAGGTAATTTTGTTTTCGATATTTGAATGTGGAATTTGTTTTCTACCTAAATTGGCAAAGTAAATGAGATTCTAGTCAAATAAAATTGACGATTTTGTTCAGGACATATTGGGTTTTTTTTCGCGGCAGTGGATCGTGACTTCGGTCGTGTGTTTTTTTGTTTTTGTTTTTTTTGTTATTCCATTGTTCCACGAATGGAAAAATGACGTCATCACGATAATATCGCGATATCGGATATTTTTTTCACGATTTGCCGATTTAAAAATAAATGGATATCGAACAGGCTTATCTTACAGTTGACAGCAGTGGAAATGGTGAGTCTTTTTTAATTTTCAAATATGAAATGAATAATTTAATGGTTTGGAAAGATCACTTTGATTTGGAAGTACTTGTATGATATTCAGCTTGTACAAAAAGAGAAAATCATCATTCATAAATACCTAAGACAGTTTAAATGTTCCTATTGGTCGAGAGCCCGTCACGTGGCCGGTTTTAAACGGTTGATTAAGACCGGCTGGCTGGTCCTAAACACTTTTCCAGTGTCACATGAAATTTGGACTCCTGTTAAATCTGGTGCCGGCATCGTTTTATTGGTTGAACCTTCACAATCCTCATGTAGGCATGTCCAATACTACCAGTGAGTCAGTATTTTCATAGTCCTAAATTCACCCAACACCGATTCATCTGCGTTCTGCGTGACATCACGCAATACGTGTAATGCACCAATCTCCATATGAGGAGCTGTTTACCAGAGGGCCTCACCATTGTATAGCTCGAGGGGTGTTTTGTTGAACGGAATCGTTGGAAATTTATAAATTTTGCCTTTTTTTTACTCTTCTGGACTGAATTTTTTTTTTTTCTCGAAAAGGTATTGATGATTTGGAATAAATATGTGCTTGATCAGTATTGAACACTCTGTTTCAGATGGGTTAGAGTCTGGATGCTGATAATTACCTGAGCCGAATATCAGCATCCAGACTCCAACCGGTCTTAAACAGAGTGTTTAATACCAACCAAGCACACATTTATTCCCTTATTAAAAATATCAGGTTGACCAAAAAACTTGACTGGAGCATTATTTGAACCTTTGACTTCCGTAGCCTCGTAAAGACATTCTACAACCAACATATGCCTGGGTAGCTCAGTTTGTAGAGTAACCTTTGTTTCAATTTAACATTTACTCAATTTTTATCTTGAGCAGAGTTCGAGTCAATCCAGCTTGCGGAAGAGATGCAGTCTTATGAGCTGTACGAAACGGCTGTAGAGAGACTACCAACCACCAAGATGTGGAGTATGTACATTGACTGCTGCATTGAGAGACTACAGCTTGGAGGGGCCAGGGACATCAGCGACAAGGTAGGGTCACTTTCACAAAGGGGCTAAGCACAGAAAATTATTGATGCACAAGAAATACCTGCTTTATAGTAGAAACAAGAACCCCCACAAATTGCTTACCAAAACTCAGCCGAGAACTTCATGGAAAAACAAAACAGATTTAATGTTATGTGCATGTTAACAAGCAACAGTTGATGCTAAAACAGATCCCCAACAGACTCTGTTTTATCGACTCTGAGGTGGCATATTTTAGAAGAAAGGCGTACTTTTCACTTGAATACACTTGTCTTCAAGAGTCTTACCTCGAAATTGCCACCACAACTATGCAACTGTTTCACTCATACCATGAATGCTCACACACATAACACTGGGTCTGGTTCTCAAGGCAACCTTGTTCCCCCATTCAGTAAATCTAAATCAGGTAAACGGAAATTTGTGGTTCGTGGAGCTTATTCATTCAATGCCCTACCTACACCTCTTAAATGCCCTTTGGCTGCTACTCTTGCCAGCTTTAAAAACACATACAAAAACCTGCTTTTTTAATGTACTAGTGCAGTACCCATCGATAATGTGCCTGTTATAATGGGGCAAATTGATTGACCTCTGGTTTTGGTTGCTTACAGCTTTTTGATAACTGCTCATCATGCAGACAATTTAAGCGCGAGATTTAATATTATTCACGCAGAGTTTTATGCAGTGCATGGGTGCTCCTGGGTTTTTTTCAGTGCAATTCTTTGGGTGTGTGTATCTGTGTTTTGTTAGTTTTTACTGAATGGTCCATGATTATTTTTTTATGTATGTATATTTTTAGTGTTTTTATGTACCCATATCTTACTATTTACTATTTTTAGTGTTTTCTGTAATTGTAGTTTTTAATGAATTGTTCTGTATAATTGCTGGGCACCTCTGGAAAACAGTGTACCACTGAGAGGTTTCCCCAGGGTAAATAAGAAATAAAAGGTGCAGTTTTCACCTAGTAAACCTATGAGCTCCGTGCACCAACAAAAAAGAGGCCCTTTTACCTAACAACGACGTCCCATGGGCGGGACATTTCGCTGGTTGACGCGCACTGTTTCTTGTGTGTGACGCACGTACGCCAGGGGATTTGTGCTTTGTACACGCAGTGGCCGCGCTTTGCGGCAAATGAATTGTAGTCAGGCAAGATGGCGTCAGTCGGTCACCCCCAACTGTACTTCCTTTGCCGGTGAGGGGGTACTTGTGAACGGAGCCGATAAAGTCCTCAGACAACTTCCAGGATGTATTGGGTACCTCGTTTGACTTCAGTGGGGTACCTGGTTCCTCGTTCCTGAACGACCTTGAAATGTTTACCACTAGGTCCTGGTGACATCAGATCAGAGTTGTAACGAGTCGGTGATTTTTGTGACTCGAGTCGAGTCATTTTAAAGAAGTGACCCGAGTCAAGTCGAGTCATTAGGTCAAGAAGGTCGAGTAGAGTCACAGTGTGTAGTCGAGTCAAGTGGAGTTTCATATTTAGCTTGAGTTAATTCGAGTCAGGAATATTTGAACATTATGATAACAAAAAGACAACAGAGAAAATAATTTGTACCACGAACAGTTAACAGTGAAGTGAAACTTCGGTCTTATATGCTATTGCGGTGCTGTGGTCCAATGGTTACGGTGTTTGACTCGTGTGCCGTGGTACATGGGTTCGAATCCTGACCGTGGGAACATGGTGCTTGTGCTCTTGAGCAAGGCACTTTACCATTATTGCTTCCTCCTTCGGATGGGACGTAAAGCCGTAGGTCCCGTGTGATGTGTGATGCACGTTAAAGAACCCAGTAACACTTATCGTTAAGAGAAGGGGTTTGCCCCGGTGTTTCTGGCAGTGGCTGCAATATGCGCTGCAGCACCTTGTAAACCCTTATAAGGTGCTACATAATGGGTCTCATATTTCTCATAAACTTTATTTACCTGTCTTTATTGATAGACATATCTCCAGCCTCTTGAGTACCTTATAGTTGGTAGATATGTGCGCTATATAAGACTCCAATATTATTATTATTATTATATCTGGTTTGGCTTTGGGTCTAGAACTGATTTTCTTTGATAAAAGGTTGTGACCCACAATCATGAAATCATGAAAAAAAAAATAAATTAAGGTTTTAGGAGCCAGCAGCAGACAAAACCCATGGCTAACCTGTCTGCCTTTTCATGGGTCGATCCGGGTGGGCTGAAGTGAGTTTCACAACAATGCTCATACTCTATTTGTGTGCAAAAAATTAATCAAATTGTCATTACTGAATCGATGATTCTGATCAAATATGCATTTCTTTCCTTTTTTTCACAGCGAGCTGAGAAAGCCTTGCAAGTCTTTTCAGCGGCCAATACAAAATGTTCATTGACAGAAGAACTCTATTTGAAATGGGTATGAGTATTTTCTCACTTTTTTTCTGACTGGATTTGTGTTGTGCATCTCGTTCTAAGCTTACAAAGTAGCCAACGAGATATGTAACTCTCCCTGCCAGTTTCAAAACTCTGGATTCAGATTTAACAATGGAAAAAAAAAAAATTTCCACACCAATAATCCAAACATGTGCTATGAATGGTACTAATATGTGTTAATACTAATACTAATATGTTGGAAAAAATGTGTTACCAACTTTACTGTGTTTTAACAAGGCAGGCAAGTTTTATTTGCAAACATCAAAAAACAAAACTACCAAATTATCACGAAAAACCTTATTAGTGAATGACAATCTAAAGCATCCTGTAAAATCAGGGCACCTGTAGTGCTGTCATGTTCAAGAAGACTGGAATTTTGTTACCAATTTCCAATGCTGAGCTGACCAGCGTTAAAAAAAATTGGCTTTTTTGAAATACTGCTCCCAAATAATCATATTTAGTTAGTTTGCATTTTTTTGCAATCGATTACACACCTGTGAACGGGTACAAACCAGCTAGACTGGTTCCCTGACCTTGCAATTCCCTGACATCTATAAATTGCTCCGTTTCAAGTTAAGTGGGGCCAGGAAACCAGACTACAAGAAAATGATTGTTTTTCTTGATTTTCCAGCATCTACGAACCCCAAACTTCAAACAAGTCAGTTTTAACAATACTTGCTATAAAATGCTAACCCCTCCAAATCCATCGATGCTAAGGCCAAAAAAAAAAGTCTCTGGTTTCTGGTATGCGTGCGCGTCGCCGTAGCCATGCGTGTCGGCAAAATGAAAAAGTTTTTTTTTTCAATAAAAGATGATGTCTCAAAACTGCCAAACTCGCTGGTTTGACTGGAATCCTGCTGCTGCACAATTTTAACGTGTTTTTAGATGGGGTTTTGATCGAGAATAAGCTTTATGTGGCCTCTCCGGACTCCCATATATTTGCACTAGGTTTAGTCGGGCACCATTTGCAGTCATCAGCTGACATTTGAAGCAAAAAAAAATAGGTAAAAAAAAAAAAAAGCCGCGTCGCCGCACCACTTTTTGGGCAAGCTCCATACCAGAAACCGTAGACTTTTTTTTTGGCCTAAAGCAAATGTTGTATATTTCCTTTTATAAGAACAAAAAATTGTGTTAATGTGTTTATGGCATTTGATTTATCTGTCTTTATGCGCACAATGGAGTATCTGATAAGGCTACTGGTCTGCGCGCGCGTCGATTTTAAGCATGCGCGTCGATCTTTTTTTTTCCAAAATGTTCCGCGGTAGCTCCAACAGCGCCCTCTATTTCCGCACCTCAATTTTTTTACCAAAGGGCACCAAGGAATGGGAAATTGCACCAAGGCAAATGATCGAAAGCACCAAGGCAAATTATGGAGGACACCAATGTACATGAGGACACCAAAAAAGCAAAATAGTACCCACCTTGTCTGTACAATCCAAGCTTGAAAAAAAAAAAAAAAAAAAAAAAAAAAAAAAAAAGCCGCGTGGCCGCGTCAATTCCGGAACTTTGCTCTGACCAGAGACCGAATATTTTTTTTTTTTGGCCTAATCCTCCTCTACACACTTACTCATTTTTCATGCCACTGCCAAGAAATCTTAAATTTAGAGCTAAAAGAACACTGCACTTGTGCATCGAAATCTCTCCCATATTTTTTTTTGGGGGGGGGAGGGTTTCTTAGACCCACTTCTCTCGACCTATTTTGCTTGCAGACCAAATTTACCTTTGATATTTGTTTTATTACCAGATGAATGTCCTTCAAAATGTGGGTAAAATAGATGAAGCGAAGGAGGTAGCAGCATCAGCTATCGTTGCCCATCTCCAGTCGGCCAGAGTCTGGGAAGCATGCCTGAAATTATCCATGCAAGACTCTGGAAGAGGTAATGTTCTCAGTGTCCTGGGGCGGATTGCAATAACGCAGTCTTAGTCGGCTGGCTAAACCAGTCCAATTTTAGCCGGCTATTGTTCTTAGACGGTCTTGGTTAAGACACCAAACTTAGCCCATTGCAATTAGCTGGTCTTTACTAAGCCCGCTTAGAGTAATGATTCACAAACAAACATTCCATGGTTACGGGCGAATACTGGAGAGACTGCACATTTTTTTTTTTTTTTAGGTTTGTGTGATTCATATCACGCGAAATCAAATGTCAATTCCGAAATTTTATGTTGAGAAAATTGTATTTGCAGTACAACTCAGTGTCATTACATTTTTCCAGAAGATCCCTTCTATCCCAGAGAATTTTCCCTAGTCCAAGCAGTGTTCTGCTTTTTTAAGATTTAATCATCAAACACCATCAACTGGGAAAAATTATTTTGGGAAAGAATAATTCAACACACCAGTGAATTCCAAAAATCCCAAATATAGACCGTTTTAAGCCAGCCCAACCCAGGCTAACTATTTTAAGACTGTCTTAATACTTAGACCGTGTCATTGCAATGGTCTTACTTATAGACTGACTGACAGCCAGAGCTTTTAGACCGTCTAATGCGCATAGACAGCTTTAAGACTGCTTATTGCAATCTGCCCCTGCACTCAATATACATTGATGTATTGATGAGCGCTGTACAAGTATGCGGCAATGCAGCGTCATACTATACAAATAATGAATGTTTGTGAGTGCAATGGTAAGAATAATTTCATGAGGTGACAGATGAAATGTTCCATTCCACGAGGCGAAGCCGAGTGGAATGGAACATTTCATATGTCACCGAATGAAATTATTCTTTCCATTGCACGAACGTGAAACATTCATTATTTGTTTTATATAACACCTGAATAATACTTGTCATCTGATTGGTTGACTTTTAACGGCAAATTTATTCAGGTTAAAAACTGTTTAAAGGTTCGACAAGTTCATCATATTTATATTAATGCAGACTGTTCAACAGGTTGAGAACAATCATATCCAATTTATCTTGATTTAAAACAGCGGCACCACCAGCAGCAGTGACACCGTGCAATGGAAGTTCTCTTCACTGTGCATTAGAACTTCCGTTGCACTGTGCGCTGCGCGCCACGCACGCGTGCCGTGCGTTGGCACGAATAATTCAATGACATGTGATCAACGATCCACCAATCAGATGACGGGGATTTATTTAGGTGTTGTATATTATCAAATAATACTGTGGCTGTGAACAAGCTTAGACAAAGACCCACTGTTTTAGGCAGACTTTTTGTGGACAGCACATCTAGTGGCAAAGTTGTAAACCAAATCTGTCTCAAGTGCATTACAAGTCATCAATCCTCAAAATAGTCCAGAGCTTTTCAAATAAACTGCGACAAATGCATTCCTTTAAAGGGAAAATACAACATTTGCAAACATCAAAAAATAAAACTACCAAATCATTTTGAAATACTGTGGCGCTGATCGAACCGGGGCTCCCCAAACTCAGGTCGCCCTGGCCTCCTGACTAAACCTTGGGTAAGCCTAGACGAGCGGTGATCTAGGTGACCTAGGGAATGCGTCCGTTCGGAAGGCCGTATGCCGCCAACACGTACAAAGTAGTCTCCTTAAGGGTGTTCACTTAAGGGAGGGACATCAACTGACAGACTGAACAAACGATGAAGGAACAGACACTGACACCTTTATTCATCAGACAACGACGACAATCAAGTTCTTTAATTCTCTATTGGGTTCAATTAGAATGTAAGAGTTAATCAACAATAATTACTGAATGAAACGGCACCTGCGTCAAGGGTGGACTATTCGCAGCGCTCCCCCACGCTCTTTTGCGACTTCCTATCAGGCAACCCCAAGTTACCGGCGGCAGGACTCCCGAGGCCCCAGTGGATACAGCCCACGAGGTAGCAACACACGGACCAAGATTCAGATCCCCGGTGTGTCTTCTCCAGCTACTAACCTCCTGTCCTCGCCCAGTCGTCAGCACGTCAGTGCAGTACACGACAACGCACACACACGTTCGTTCTCCACGAGACGCCGCAATTCACGTCCGTTCTCAACGACGCGCTGTGACCAACTCCTCCCGCGCGAACGGACCCAACTACAGAGGGCGCTGCGCAAGCTCGCTGCAGCTCGCTCTATAAATAACTCGCTGCAAGCACACCGTTGCGCTACACAGCCTCACCCTCAAGTTCAGGCCGTCCTCGGTCTTAAAAACTGGTATAACTAAAAGCAAAGGATGTGCTTGCTCCTAGCATGAAATAATACTTGTCAAAATAATGTTCACTTAAGACAATAAACTTAAGGTTAAGGTGAAACTTAAGGTAAGTTAAGGTAAGGTCTGGTCACTTAAGGTAATAAACTTTAGGTAAACAGTTGCAGGCATACTTAAGTAAACATCTACTTCGCTGGCAATTTCAGTTCACTTTTTGACTCTAACCAAATGATTTAAATAAAGATCTCTCACCGTACCTCTGTACACTTTACTTACACAATATAAAACTGTTTTACATGCAAAAGGTTCTCATGAAAATAAATACAACTCTGACTTAAGAGTCCTAAAATACAAAAAGGGTTTCTGTAACTTTAAACTTTAAGTAACTTTAAACAACAGTTTAGTCAAGCAACAACTTTAAAATAAATCACGGCCTTAAGATCATGAAAACAAAACTTAAGTTGCAGTTCTTAAGGTTCTTAATCAAGATGAAACTTAAGATGACTTTGCAGATTCATAGCTACTGAAGAACAAAACCGGCAGTGAAGTTGACCTCGTAGGTTCTCTCAGTGATTTCTTCAGAAACTTTCACACCGTTCTGGAACCTTGATGTGGTGTGCACCTCCTTGACACGCCGGACCTTTCCAGCCATCATTATCTCCAAGTCGGGGGTGCTGACAGGTACTGCACGCTGTGACCCACGTTCATCTCCACGGATTTTGAACACTCTGGCTGAGGCTGGCTTGGGAGATGAGGTACCCTGCGTAACACCAGTCGCAGGATAATTGATGTGGTGCTTCTTCTCCTTACACTTCAGGGAACTTCCTTCAAGGACTCGCCCAAGGCTTATCTGCTGGGAAGGGGATACGGCTGCGGTATTACTCGGCTCACCATGAAGCACAACACGCACATCCTCCTCGTCCTCACTTCCACTCTTGGATTTCAGATCTTGAACAAGGGCCATCATTCCCTTCGGCTTTCCACCAGATCTGTGTTCCAAGGATTGCGGCTGTTGGCTAAGGCACTGATCGACCAACGACAATGAGCACGGGGAAAGGGACAACTCAGGAGCGTCCTCGGTCTCCATCCGTCCAGGAATTAAGGGTACCGGCCATTTTAGGGCATCCTCGGTCGACGGCTCCTCTTTCCCCGTTTCAGACTCCTCTGCCGCCTTCGGCTGCTTCCCCTTGGGCCTCCCAGTATCCTCCGTCATTTCTGAAGCTCTGCGCTTGTCAGGGCGATCCTTCTGTCGCTCCTTGTTAGCCTGCCTACTCCCTGCATCAGCCTTTCCACGTTTATGTTCCTCTTCCGTCTCCGGGTATATCTTAGCCAAGTCATCCAGAGATGAAGGGTGGTGATTATTGTAGTGCACCTTCAGATTATCCTTCCTCGTGTAGCCCCGCTCACACTTCAAGCAGAAGAACAAGATCTGCCTTGACCCATGACTACTCGCATGCTTGTCGAACCTCCTCTTGTTTATGAAGGTGTCACCGCACTCCTTACACTTGAAAAGTCGCACTGTGTCCCAGTCCTTGGGTCGACTCCACTCCTTTTTCTTGTCCATCCTTCAGTAGATTTTTCAACTGCAAAACGAAAAATAAACACTAAGGTAAGCCTCCTTGATACTTGTACATCCCCCCTTGAATTTGTCCTGCTTACGTCACTTATGTAATTCTGATCATCTGAATCTTTGATTAACGATATCGCTGAGGTGGCCGCCGCTGGCGCAGTGGATTCTTTCTCGCCCGCGCTGGGCTTTGCACCGCTGGCGCAGGTGCTATTTCAGTTCTAGTCGGTACTGAGGGTTGCACATGTTCCACATGTGCCTCCGGTGTCAAGTTCTCTTGAATTGACTCCCTACTTCCCATCAGCTCATCTGCTCCTGCTAACTCCTCTGTTTCAGGTAGATTGGCTTCCTCAAGTGACTCTACTTCAGGTGAGGCCTGTGTTTCCTGGTCACTACCTTGGCTCACTTCACTTATCTCTTGCAGCTGAGTTTCGGGAGAAACTTGATTGTCTTCCTCCTGACTACTACTCCTCCTTTTGGCCCAAGGCTTCAACGGTTTTCCCTCATAGGGCTTGAGGCGGTCGCTGTGGACAACCTTCATCTTTCCCCCACTCTTCTGTTGAATCCTATAAGTCACGTCGGATAGTTTGTCCAGTATCAGGTATGGACCTTCCCACCTGCACATCAACTTTGGAGATACCCCTTTCTTTTTCGCTGGGTTAAACAACCAGCAGAACTTGCCCTCGACGAACTGTTCCTTGCAGACGTTCCTGTCGTAGTGGCGCTTCTGCCTCCTGGCACTCTTCGCAAGGCACTTACGGGCTCTGTCATGAGATCGCTGCATCCTCATCCGCATCTCTTGGGCATAGTCCAAGTCTTGCGTCTCCTCCTCTGACATTCGCTCAACAGGTACCCCAAATAAGTGTTGTTGTAGAGGTGCATTTCGCCTCTTGCTCGGCGACTTTCTCTTTGCACACAAGTTGCACTGCCTAATGAAGGACCTGACATCAGCACTCAAGCCTGACCAATGGAACTTAAGGCGTACCTTAGCCATGGTCCTTTTTGTACCCAGGTGACCGCTTGTCCTTCCTGCATGCATCTCCCGCAGTATCTCCTCCCGATACTCTTGTGGCACTACAGTCTGCCAATGCACCTCCCGTCCATCGTGGGACTCCCACCGACGCTGCAAGATCCCTTGTCGGACTGTCAATTGTTCCCATTGCAGCCAGTAATTCTTCGCAGCCGTGGATTTTGGAGAAACTATCTCCCAGTCAGGGCGTGTGCCTGCCTCTTCCTTAGCGTGAATAAGCCAGTTCATCTGTTCGTCCTCGAGTTGAGCCCTTTTCCAACCTTCATTTGAGATTTGGGGTTGCACCCCCACCACGCGTAAGTCTGCTCGAACCACTGCGTCTTGATCCGAAGTGTCCATCACAACACTTCTTTCCACAGATTTCCCTTCATCTTCGTCACAGCTGATTTCGTCTCTTCCGCACCGTGAGCGGGGTCGGTGTGACAGGCTATCAGCATTCTGGTGTGACTCCCCAGCCCGATGTCTGTCAACACACTTGATCCGCTCCCCATTTACAGTAAATGTCAAGGCCCTGAAATCCAGCCTCCCATTGGTCGGCAACAAGTAATCCATTCCCAGGATTCCTTCGACTTCCAGTTGTGCAAAAACAACACAAACTACTCTCACTGTCTTCCCAACCTGGACCTCTACACAGGCGCTTCCCATAGTCTTGATTAATGTTCCGTCTGCACCATGCACCCCTACTCCTTCAGTGTTCAGCGAAGGTCTTCTTTCTGGTGACATATTGTAGTATGTCGATGCAGAAAGTAAGGTGGTTGTAGCCCCAGTATCGATCAACATGTTCACCTTAAGTCCCCTAACCACAGCAGGTACGAAAAGTCCACTTCCCTGTCGCAGCGTCTCCCTTAAGGCTGGCACCTCAAGGGTGGGCAAGCCTCCTTTCCCACAACTCAAGGGGGATTCCTTAAGGGTTTCCTCTCCTCGCAGCTGTCTATCTCTCTCAAGCGGTACCTGGTGGGTCTTCACCTCCTGGTCTAATGATCCACTTCCACCTTGGTGGTGGCTTCCTTTGCACTTGTCTGACCCTTGACTTCTTCCAGCCGTTTCACGGGTCCCTGAGACGGCTGCATGTCGTTTCCCGACATCCTTGATCTCCTGGCCTTCGGCTTCTTGCAGTCTCGCGCAAAATGCCCTTTGCACCTGCAATTGTGGCACACGTCCTCAGTGTTTGCCTTCCTGCGTCCGAAAGGTCGTATCGTCTCCTTGCTCCCAGTAGGAACATTCTCACCTAGACGGGAAATTATCTGCTGGACAGCACGATCTACAACTGCCTGATTAACCGGAACCTCTCCCGTAGCCTCCACGGTTGGTTCTGTTTCCACCATTCTTGCATACTTCTTGGTTTTGTCTGCAGCTCTCTGCTCCTCCACCTTGTGGTAGCTCTCAGCAGCCAGAGATGCCTTAATCGATTCATCCAAGGATGTTGGTTTGGCCCTGAAAATTGCTTCTCTAATTGCCCTATTTCCAACTGAATCCATGAAATGTCCTCTCGCTAATCGATCCCTTCCTTCCTCTGAGAATTCGGGATACGCTAACGCAGAGAGTTCCCTGATACTCTGCCCTAACTCCTGTAATGTCTCTTTTTCTCCCTGACGACGATGTCGCAGCTCCATTAAATGGTACTCCGCCTGTTGACCTGGGCCGAACCTCTGGTCTAACGAGCTGATTAAATCCCTGAAGGAATATTTCTTACCCTCCGGCTTGCAACCCAACACACTTAAGGCTGGTCCCTGGAGGCTTGCAGCAAGAAACACCTTCGCTTGCCCATCGTTCCATCCATTGGCCACACGACAGGCCATGAAGTGTGCCTTGTAGTCCTTCCAAGGCACCTTACCGTTAAATCTATCCGGACAAATGTTCGGTTTCTTTAACTTGATCTCTGATTCTGCCACGTCCTCCTTGACTGGCTCCGATGTGTTTTTCTCCTTAAGGACCGTTCCTGCAGGTTCATCTTTCTTGGTTGTCTCCAAGGTACATTCCTCTCTCACAGAGGTCGCCATCGTATTGGCTGGTGTTGCTGGCACTGTTCCCAAGGGTGACAGTCTTGGTGTAAGCGAAAACAACTCAGGAGTTTTAATTCCTGGTGTCATTTCCAGACCTCGCTGCGTAGACTCCAGCAACTCCCCTTTTATTTTCTCTAGTTCGTCCCTCAGACGCTGCCTTTCCTCAATGGCATCCTGAAGAAGTTCTTCTCCTCTCTGGTTATCCATCCTAAGAATGGCAAGTTCTTCCTCCATCATGTCTGTATTCAGCAGTTCCATTCCCTTAATCCTCGATCCTCAAGGTTCCTGATGTACGCTTTTATCCCACTTCTGACACCAATGTGGCGCTGATCGAACCGGGGCTCCCCAAACTCAGGTCGCCCTGGCCTCCTGACTAAACCTTGGGTAAGCCTAGACGAGCGGTGATCTAGGTGACCTAGGGAATGCGTCCGTTCGGAAGGCCGTATGCCGCCAACACGTACAAAGTAGTCTCCTTAAGGGTGTTCACTTAAGGGAGGGACATCAACTGACAGACTGAACAAACGATGAAGGAACAGACACTGACACCTTTATTCATCAGACAACGACGACAATCAAGTTCTTTAATTCTCTATTGGGTTCAATTAGAATGTAAGAGTTAATCAACAATAATTACTGAATGAAACGGCACCTGCGTCAAGGGTGGACTATTCGCAGCGCTCCCCCACGCTCTTTTGCGACTTCCTATCAGGCAACCCCAAGTTACCGGCGGCAGGACTCCCGAGGCCCCAGTGGATACAGCCCACGAGGTAGCAACACACGGACCAAGATTCAGATCCCCGGTGTGTCTTCTCCAGCTACTAACCTCCTGTCCTCGCCCAGTCGTCAGCACGTCAGTGCAGTACACGACAACGCACACACACGTTCGTTCTCCACGAGACGCCGCAATTCACGTCCGTTCTCAACGACGCGCTGTGACCAACTCCTCCCGCGCGAACGGACCCAACTACAGAGGGCGCTGCGCAAGCTCGCTGCAGCTCGCTCTATAAATAACTCGCTGCAAGCACACCGTTGCGCTACAATACCTTGCTGGACTGTTAGTGAATTACAGTGTAAAGCATCTTGTAAAATCATGGCACCTGGTATACTGTCATTTTCAAGAAAAGTGCTATTTTTGTATCAATTTCCAACGCTGATCGGCCGATCAGCGTTGGAAAAAACTGGCTTTTTTTCAAATACTGGCCCCAATTGACCATCGCACTTGTTTGCAATCGATTACACACCTATGAACGGGTACAAGCCAACTAGACTGGTTCCCTGACCTCACAATTCCCCAATGTATGTAAACTGCTCTGTTTCTTCTTATATGGAGTCAGGGAACCAGACTACAGGAAAATGATTGTTTTTCTTGGTTTTTATAGCATTTTCGAACCCAAAACCGCAAAATAAGTCAGTGTAACTATATTTGCTATATATTTCCAACCCCCCAATTCCATCCATTTCTGAAAATTACAGCAGAAGCAAATGATGTATATTCCCTTTAATTGTCATTTGTTCATCCCTTGTTATTTGTGATTTGACTTGGTAAGACTTTGTGATTTGACTTGATAGGACTAAAATAAGCCATTTGTAAGTGACCTAAACGTCTGGTACACTGACTTGCTCAGAATGCTTGGCACATTTTAACTTTGAATTCTCCAGACCAAAGACACTGTTGCTAATCACATGATTCGGGGCAAGCTCTTGCATACGGTGGTTACGTAAGAGACGCTCAGCATCAATACATCGCTCACAATGGGTGAGAATGGCACAAAGACACCAGACCATGCCGGAGCTGAGGGTTGCTAGCATAAGGCTTGCCCCGAAACACGTGATATAGTAACAGTCTCTTTGGTCGGGAGAATGCAAAGTTAAAACGTGCAAAGCATTGGATTAAGACAGCATTCCAGATTTTATTCAAACCTAAAGCTGTGTTCCCATTGGACTTTTTCTTCAGCGGCCACGCGGAAAGTTACCGTGACTGGCTTTGGTGTAATTCTACCGTGCGTTCCCACCTGGACTTATATTCCGCGACGGAACGGTTCATTCGCTGTTCGAGACTGGCAGAATGTCACACATTGCGGGCGCTGTGCACAGTCACCTTTGACCTATGCGGGATATGACGTGCCTGTGACGTATTTTTCGCGCGCTGAATTTAGTCGGCCACGTCAATGTCCACACTGACGCGATGCGACGCTAGCACAATGATCATTGTACTACAAACAACTCAACAAAGTAGCGAAACTGCAGCAGCTGGACGAGATTGAAAAAAGCGCTGCAGCTGAGCGTAGTGCATGCTACACACGCTGTGTACGGTACGATGATAATATCACACCGCCATCAGTGCAAACGAGACAGGGAACCATACTACCATTTTCGCGCGAATTCTGTGTATACAGGAAGTGTTGTTGTTTGCATAGCGTTTTACAGCGTGGGCACGGTAGGTTTACAGCGCGGAGCGTTCCCATTGGACTTTTTAGCGGCCCTGTTAAGTTACCGTGGCTGCGCGGAAGTCTTCCGCGTCCTCTTTCGGCCTGTTAGTTTTACATCACGGTCGCTGTAAGTTGACAGGGACGTCAGTTTACCGGGTGTCCCCATTGGATTTAATTTTGTCATTCTACAGAAAAGTCGCGGTACTTTAACCCAAAAAAGTCCAATGGGAACACGGCTTAAATCGCAAATGGCTTATTACAACTCTGTTTTGCAATGGTATTTCACATCCATGCTGGATACCACTTCTCTTGTGCATACAGGCAGGGAGAATCAGCAGGCTGAGGTGTCCCAACTCTTTGACAGTGCAATCTCCTTTGTCAAAGCCAAGGTGAGTGCTGTCATAGTTGAGGAACGTTTATACTGGCAAGTAGCCGCAGTATAATGGAAGGAAATTACTCAAGCCTACACCCCCAACCCTATTTCGTCGCGTCAGTGCAACAAGGTTGTAACTCCATTCTGCAACAAAGTCGTATCTCGCGCAAATACACTCCATTGACTTTGTGGGTACATCCAGGTTATTTTAAAGGGACACTAGGTCCTAGAACAGCCCAATTGGGCTACAAAACGTGCTTTGAACGAAATGATGTTAATCGGAAAGAACATTTAAAAGTAGGATTTACATATAAACATCCACACAACTATCCTTTAAAAACTGGGCGTTTTTGTGTTATTCCTGTATTATGCGTGTGTGAACGAATGTCGGGGTCCACTTTTTGCAACCCCAAAAATTCGAGCTGTTTTGATGCTAGTTGTGATTTCATCCGTAAAGTGATTCGCCTTTTGCGGACGTGTAAGAAACCATATTTTGTGCGTTGGTGATTGGTCATCGCGTGCTGTTCATGAACACGGTGCTGTGTACACATATTGTACGAATATTGACTGAAAGTAAAAACGACAGGAAAAGCGTATTCGCACTTTGTCGTGTCCGATGTAAACAACCAAGGTTTTTCGTCTTTCCTTGGGAACGGTAAGACATTAGGTCGGCTTCCTTTGAACCAGATGTTTGAAATAGGATAAGGTAACGATCCAAAACATGAAATTTTCGGGGATTTCAGGACCTAGTGCCCCTTTAAGTGAGATACAACCGTTTGACATTCTGAAGCTCGCGTTTCAAGTACGGCCCATTTTAGGAGAAACGACCTTGTTGCACGGACACGACGATTTTATCAGGTTCTGCAATTTTTACCGTAAAAAAACACAAGTTTTCCCCACCAACGAAGTCCCAATCAAAACCATAGAGCTATATTAAATTACTAGAGCGCTAACTCCTCATTCTTTTGCGCGGAGACGCTTTGAAGCCGCTCTGGGCGCAGACATTTTGAATTTATGTGCGTGTTTGTAGAACACAATCAAAATAGACTGATTGAATTTTAAAAGTGTACTCTAAATGCAACGCGCAAGTAGAAGATACGAAAACAACTTAAGCGCGTCATGACGGTTCAAAAAACATCACGGCGAAAAGCATCTGCAGTGGAGGGACGCGCTGTTTACGTGGAGCAAAATGAAGCGCTCATTTGCTGATCGTGCGTTTTGGTTTTGGGGTATTGGCTTCGATAACGCACCGGGATAGAATACAAACGCAGATATGCAAATAGCCATACAAAAGCCGTACAAAATTTCGAGTTTTCCATAGGTTTGTGCACAAACATGGATGCGCCCATCAGGCATTACTTTGTACATCGAGTTAGCGCTCTAGTAATTTAATATAGCTCTATGATCAAAACGGATATAACTTAAGCAAGTGACCATGATGACATGTAATACATGCCAAACACACACACACACTCTGATAGAATGGTTGACAATATTGCTTGTTGTGGTTGATCTATACAGCATGCACTGCCACTGTGGAGATTGGGTCTAGACTGGTGCCTTATCATGAACTCTGACAACGTACAGGAGATATTCAAGGTACTCTACAGCTATAACATGACACTGTTCCAAGCAAATCAAGAACAAATTGCGAGAGTATTACTAGAACGAGGCTTATAGGTCTCGTTCAAATGATGTCATTTCCTACAGACCATCCACGTGCATTGGCATTTTGAGCGTGAACTTGCATAACGCGCATCGGCTGCGTCGTCTTTCGAGCACATTTCGAGCACCAAGCGCGCATGTTTGGAACATTTTCAACACTGCTTAATGCGTGCTTGATTGCGTAAAATACGCAGTTGCAGTTCTCCTACAGAGATGGCCGTCATTGAGCAAGCCCTATTGGTTAATAATGATCTGTATCCACGGTGACGATAGTAAATTTAAATAAAGTGTGAATTTATAAAATTGAATAAAGTGTGAATTTTTAAAAAAACATTGTTAATAAATTGTTAAAATAACTCGGTTATGGCCTTTGCAAATGCAGTTGGTTTACCCATCCCTAAGAACTGAAGGACATTGCCATGTGAGTCTTGGATTGTCATGATCAGAAAAGACCTACATTAATTGTAAAACATTATTTAATTCTTGATGGTTTAGGCTGCAATCAAGGAGCCAGCCGTGGTCTCAACACCCATGAAGACACTCTACTTGCAGTGGGCAGCTATCAACAAGGATCTCAGCAAAGCTAGAAAGATCTATAAGAGGTTGGTTTTTAATCAATTATTCATAAATACCTGAGACAGTTTACCCATTCCTGTTGGTCGACAGCCCGTCACGTGAGTGGTTTTAAACCGCCGGTAAAACACAGCTGCATTCTGCGCCACCTGTGCAGTACACACCAAGCGTGCGCCAGTCTTCCTACATGGAGATTTTTAGTACAACTCACGTGACGCACATACCATAAACATAGCTAGAGGGGTGTTTCAGAAAGCATGAAGTAAAATTGTTGAACAAAAAATGTTGGAATTTTGTCAATTTTCAACTAATTTTGACTTTTTGACCCAAAGGTGTTTATGAATGGTAATAAATGTGCTTGGCCGGTAAACAAGTACGTTTAAAAACATCAGGGGCCTGGTCATAGATAATGTCCCTCACCTTCAGCTCTGGCCATCATCGGTGACCAGGCCCTTAGTGTTTAACCCGAAAAGGGTTAAAGCCTAAACTTTTTCCGCGATAGCCTTGAAAAAAACAATTTCCGCGACCAGAGCTGTTATGACTTTTTAGCCTCAAGCCTTGCGCATCTTTTGATACCAAAAATATAAAAATTTGACCACGGTTTGCCACGCAGCGAAAAATTTCCCGGCGCTACGCACCATGAAATCTTAATTTTCCCATATACGTCGTGTACACAGAGCAGAATTACCGTTTGTACATATGAATAATTAATTAGCCATAATTCCAAAATCCTTTGATCTATAGTCATGAAATTTCAATATTTTTGTCACTCGATGGCCGAGACTTTACATGTACGTGCGAAGTGCCAATTCCCCGAAGTGGTGATTAGGCGAAGTGCTAATTCGGCAAAGTGGAAATTCGGCAAAGTTTATTCGGCGAAGTGACCGACACCTGTGACCGTTAGTGTAGAATTTTTTGTTAGCAATGATTCTTTGCATTGAGTAAACAGAACAGAGAAAGGGGATCCTAGTCACTTGTTCGTGGATTTCTTTGCCGATAGATTGTTGAAGGAGAGACCGCTGTCTGTGGATTTCTTCAAGCAGTACATCTCCATAGAGCAGGCCCAGTTGGAACCCAACATGAATAAGATACGGCGCTGCTATGAAGACGCACTGGCAGAATTTGGCTCGTCCAGACCAGGTATGTTGACTTATATCTTACTATAATTCAAGGAATCTCTGTCTGTCTGTCTGTCCGTCGATTATCTCCAGAACTGGGCACCGTATGAAGTTGAAAATCAGAGGGTGTATTGCTCGGGGCCACAGAATGTGCAGTGCCAAGTTTGAAGTGGTTTGGATGAGCGGTTCTCGAAAAAGCTTCAAAAAAGCAGTATTTTCGGAGGCAAACGTGGCAGCTTAGAACATAACACCACGCACTGCCGTTCTTTTCAATTGTTTACGTCATGTTTAAGCTAAAGCGCGCGTGCTCAATATGATGCAAACAATGCAAAAAGGACGGGCACGCGCACGTGCAGTGGTGTAGGGCGACACATTGTCCAGTACGGGTGAATAGCACTGCATACCATGTTTTCGTATGTACACGGGCACATTATTTTTGCAGTCGACTTCAAACTTGGCACAAACTTTGACGTAAGTGTGCGTTCAACCTGTGAAAACAACACCATTGAATCGCGTGCGTTGTTTGCACGAGCAGTTCTCCAAAACTCTGCAAGTATGCAACCTATACCAGCGGCAAAGCAATTTGCGCTTCCCGAACATGCACATTTTAGACGGGCACTGCACTAGTTACAGTAATTCCAGAAGACATGAGTGATATACCCTGTCTGAAACATGTTAAAAATAATGTTTTGCCATGGAAAATTGAGCTTGAATGTGTTAGACAAGCTTTCTGTTTCTAGAGGAGATTTGTATCAGCGTGATGTAAACTTTGATTTTGAATTTTGCCCATCACTGTAAGTGTATGAACACCATGGTCAGGCTTTCAAAGAGCTTGCGAGAAGCACTTAACAAATGCACTTAATAGTTGGTAACTTGAACCAATACTGTTGTGCTTATTTCTTGTGTTATATTAAAGGTAGAGTATATCATTTTTCATTTGTGCATTTTTTTTGCGTTTGAAACAACAAAAGGGCATTAAAACTAAAGAAGGGTGCTGAACAACTAACCTGATGAACTTTTAGCTCAGTGAATGCTGTATATTCCGAGAGAAAAATGTTCTAGGATCTCGATTCAATTCAAAAGTTGCTAAGTCATGTTTTCAGCGAATTCAGCATCCAGGACACGTTGTCATTGAGCCGATTGCAGCTGCACGATGTCACGCACTGAACCGACAGATTAGAGCAAACGCGCACGCGTGTGCGTCCTGTCAACGCTTGCACGCTACCATTCACAGTTTTGCCGAATTAAAAACGAACTACTAATAGAATTTTTTTTAAAAATGAGTATTTAGAATGAACTTCTTTTAGGGTTTTCTTCAAAATGGCAGCATGCCAGAAAGAATAATTTCACAGGGAGTTTAGTGCCATTACTATCATTAAAGCTATAGTCCATCAATTGCAGCCATCCGAAAAGTAACTGGCGTAATTATTGTTGAAACACAAACTTGGTTGAAAGATAGTAAGGGGACTAAACTCCCTGTGAAATTATTCTTTCTGGCAAGCTGTCATTTTGAAGTAATCAACGAAAGAAGGCATTTCCAACGGTGATTCTTAAGAAGCACCGTAGGAAAATTTAAATTAGTAGTTCGTTTTGTTCGTATTGGAATGACGCACACGTGCGCGCGGTTGTTATAATTCGTCGGATCGGTGCGCTACGTCGCGTATAGCTGCAATTCAAAACAATTCTAAACATGATTCAGTATTACTTTTGATTTGAAATTGAGATCTTAGAATGCTGTTTTTCTCGGAATGTACAGCTGAAGCTTAGCTGAAACTTCATCAGGTTAGTTGCTCAGTATCCTTCATTAGTTTTTGAACCCTTTTGTTGCTTCAAACGAACAAAATGCACAAATTACAAATGATGGACTGTAGCTTTAAATCAAGTACGGTTGTTTCAACAATAATTTGGTCAGTTACTTTATGGATTGTTGCGAATTATAAACTCTATTTTTAATGCCGATATAGCATTGGATTATTTTGGCAGTTGTGTGCTGCTGTATGACAGTAGAATGTATTCATAAACAAGCACACAAAAGATGATTCTGTATAACAGTCCTTTTATTGTGCATGTACTAAGAACATGCAAAGCATTATTTGATATCGCACAAAACCAATATTATCTTTTCTTTGTTTTGCTTTGCTCGTTTTCAGACTTATGGTTGGACTTCATTCGTCTGGAGAAGGACAGCATGCGAGCCCCACAGATTTACTGGAGAGCAATGAAAGCACTGTCAGGCCCGGAGCTGGAAGACTTCACCAACGGATGCACACTAATACAAACAGGCCATGCAACCTAGCCAGCAACAAGCTCACTGGAGAGCAATGAAAGCACTGTCAGGCCCGGAGCTGGAAGACTTCACCAACGGATACACGCTACTACAAACAGGCCATGCAACCTAGCCAGCAACAAGCTCACTGGAGAGCAATGAAAGCACTGTCAGGCCCGGAGCTGGAAGACTTCACCAACGGATACACGCTACTACAAACCGGCCATGCAACCTAGCCAGCAACAAGCTCACTGGAGAGCAATGAAAGCACTGTCAGGCCCAGAGCTGGAAGACTTCACCAACGGATACACGCTACTACAAACCGGCCATGCAACCTAGCCAGCAACAAGCTCACTGGAGAGCAATGAAAGCACTGTCAGGCCCGTAGCTGGAAGACTTCACCTACGGATACACACTACTACAAACCGGCCATGCCACCTAGCCAGCAACAAGCTCACTGGAGAGCAATGAAAGCACTGTCAGGCCCGGAGCTGGAAGACTTCACCAACAGATACACGTTACTACAAACCGGCCATGCAACCTAGCCAGCAACAAGCTCACTGGAGAGCAATGAAAGCACTGTCAGGCCCGGAGCTGGAAGACTTCACCTACGGATACACGCTACTACAAACCGGCCATGCCACCTAGCCAGCAACAAGCTCACTGGAGAGCAATGAAAGCACTGTCAGGCCCGGAGCTGGAAGACTTCACCAACGGATACACGCTACTACAAACCGGCCATGCAACCTAGCCAGCAACAAACTCACTGGAGAGCAATGAAAGCACTGTCAGGCCCGGAGCTGGAAGACTTCACCTACGGATACACCCTACTACAAACCGGCCATGCAACATAGCCAGCAACAAGCTCACTGGAGAGCAATGAAAGCACTGTCAGGCCCGGAGCTGGAAGACTTCACCAACAGATACACGTTACTACAAACCGGCCATGCAACCTAGCCAGCAACAAGCTCACTGGAGAGCAATGAAAGCACTGTCAGGCCCGGAGCTGGAAGACTTCACCTACGGATACACGCTACTACAAACCGGCCATGCCACCTAGCCAGCAACAAGCTCACTGGAGAGCAATGAAAGCACTGTCAGGCCCGGAGCTGGAAGACTTCACCAACGGATACACGCTACTACAAACCGGCCATGCAACCTAGCCAGCAACAAACTCACTGGAGAGCAATGAAAGCACTGTCAGGCCCGGAGCTGGAAGACTTCACCTACGGATACACGCTACTACAAACCGGCCATGCAACCTAGCCAGCAACAAGCTCACTGGAGAGCAATGAAAGCACTGTCAGGCCCGGAGCTGGAAGACTTCACCAACGGATACACGCTACTACAAACCGGCCATGCAACCTAGCCAGCAACAAGCTCACTGGAGAGCAATGAAAGCACTGTCAGGCCCGGAGCTGGAAGACTTCACTAACGGATACACGCTACTACAAACCGGCCATGCCACCTAGCCAGCAACAAGCTCACTGGAGAGCAATGAAAGCACTGTCAGGCCCGGAGCTGGAAGACTTCACCAACGGATACACGCTGCTACAAACCGGCCATGCAACCTAGCCAGCAACAAGCTCACTGGAGAGCAATGAAAGCACTGTCAGGCCCGGAGCTGGAAGACTTCACTAACGGATACACACTACTACAAACCGGCCATGCCACCTAGCCAGCAACAAGCTCACTGGAGAGCAATGAAAACACTGTCAGGCCCGGAGCTGGAAGACTTCACTAACGGATACACGCTACTACAAACCGGCCATGCCTCCTAGCCAGCAACAAGCTCACTGGAGAGCAATGAAAGCACTGTCAGGCCCGGAGCTGGAAGACTTCACCAACGGATACACGCTACTACAAACCGGCCATGCAACCTAGCCAGCAACAAGCTCACTGGAGAGCAATGAAAGCACTGTCAGGCCCGGAGCTGGAAGGCTTCACCAACGGATACACACTACTACAAACCGGCCATGCAACCTAGCCAGCAACAAGCTCACTGGAGAGTAATGAAAGCACCGTCAGGCCCGGAGCTGGAAGACTTCACTAACCGATTCACGTTACTACAAACCGGCCATGCCACCTAGCCAGCAACAAGCTCACTGGAGAGCAATGAAAGCACTGTCAGGCCCGGAGCTGGAAGACTTCACCAGCGGATACACGCTACTACAAACCGGCCATGCCACCTAGCCAGCAACAAGCTCACTTTAGAGCAATGAAAGCACTGTCAGGCCCGGAGCTGGAAGACTTCACCAACGGATACACGCTACTACAAACCGGCCATGCCACCTAGCCAGCAACAAGCTCACTTTAGAGCAATGAAAACACTGTCAGGCCCGGAGCTGGAAGACTTCACCAACGGATTCACGTTACTATAAGACGACAGATGGAATGTTCCATTCCACTCGGTTTCTCCTCGTCTCGTACAATGGAACATTCCATTAGTCACCTGATGAACTTATTCTTACCATTGCACTCATAAACATTCATTATTTATATATTTCTTATTTGATTTGTCACAAATAGGTCATGATCAACCAATGACTTGCAGAACCTGAGCCCGATTTCATAAACCTTAGCCAAAAATTATCGCTTAACAAATTTGTAAGCTTTAGCATAATCAGTTGAAACCAACAAGGTGATATATTGTAGGGCATTGAAGAATTATGGGGTCATTCCATGTCAAATCACCCAATGGGTTACACCCCACCCCCTTCAAATTTGCTCATATTTAGTATGTGGGGTAATTTAGGCTGAAAAAGCTGAAATATTAAGTTTTAGCGCCATCGGACAAATGGTTTTTGAGCTACCGCCCCCCCCCCATTGTTTGGCAAATTTGGTCAAAATGGGCGTGGCCACCAATTGTCAAATGACCACATCTCCATAACGTGTGGGCCAATTTGTTGTTTTTGGTTGCTTTGGAAAGGTAACATCATAAGTAATCCAAATTTACCATTACTTTTCATGTCAAAGTAATTTGAAGTATGATGACCTTTTGACCTTTACTTTGACCTTGAATTTGACCTTGTGGATCACGTGAACTTGAGACAAACTTCAATGAAAATTATACCCCTCCATGTTTTCTACAAAATATCCAAAAATTGGAGGTATCATATTTTTTGTTTGATTTCTAGCTTATGTCAAAGTTGGCATATGTGTTGCAAAATGTGATATCCCTCTACATGTACACATTTCAAGGACAAAAAAATAGTACACTGGTACACTGCATAGGGATATCACATTTTGCAACACGTATGCAAACTTTGAAATGAGCTAGAAACCAAGCAAAAAATATTAAACCCCCAATTTTTGGATATTTTGTAGAAATTTCCATTGAAGTTCGTCTCAAGGTCACGTGATCCACAAGGTCAAATTCAAGTTCAAAGTAAAGGTTAAAAGGTCATCATACTTCAAATAACTCCGATATGAAAAATAATGGTAAATTTGGATTTCTTATGATGTAACCTTTCAAGATTAACAAATTTGGTCAACAGGTTATGGAAATACGGTCATTTGAAAATTGGCGGCCACGCCCATTTTGACCAAAATTGCCAAAAAATGGCGGGCGGTAGCGCGAAAAGCGTTTGTCCGATGGCGCTAAAACTTAAAATTTCAGCTGCTTTTTCAGCCTAAATTACCCTATAAATTAAATATGAACCGATTTGAAGTGGGTGGGGTTTAAATCTTAATTTTTTGGGGGTGATTTGACACGGAATGACCCTATGGTAAGATGCATTTCCGTGGTAAGCAGCACTTAAAATGGTCCCAGTAAAAATAAACCAAAATATATCACCAGATTTATTTATTGAAATATCAACTGATCAATCTTTTCACTTGCAGTTTATATCATCAGAAATACAAATGTGTCATTAAATTTGACCCCAAACTGTATTCATTAAACATTGTCTGGAATGCATCTTGGTCACTTATTTTATGCCCAAATGTCATTATTCCAAATGTGTTTTATTTATGCATCTAAGTGGTGTTGAATTTGTAAGTTATTTTGACATTGTTTCTTCGACTTGTGTTTCATTCTGATGAATTTCAATATCTTTTGCAAGCTTGTGGATTGTTTAAAGTAAGACATGTTTGTCGGTCACAATCTTTTTCTTTAACCCAAACTGCCCTGAATCCTTCAAAATCCTCTTTGCCAAAGTGGAGGAATTTGGAGGATTGAGGTTACATTGCAAAAGTGCGTTACTGATTTCGTAGCATGCACTTTGTCAAGGTCTTGGGCCAGACCTTGTGTTGTTTTTGCTTAGCCATGCATAAATATAGGCCTGGATTTTTTTTGAAATCCTCTGTACTGCTCCAGGATGTCACTGGCCAAGCCTCAACATATTGACAGTCACTGCCGCAGGATTTTGCAGGATTCAGGCAGTGGTCACCCCCACACACCATATTCAAGAAATAATGGAGGAATTTGCAGGATTGAGGCTATATGCTATTTTCCATGAGGCCAAGTGCAGGATTGAGGCTACATCCTAGCAAAAAGGCCTAGGGAGTTGGGGTCAATACGATTTTCATATTTGTGTGTATGAAAAGTAGATGCCTAATATCATTCCAAGTGTTGGCGTGCAAAAAGGACCTCTTTTTGTTATCAATTTTTTTTGGATTTATACAGATGAAACGTTTAGACATTAACCAGTGCACGCCGGGATTATTATGACAAGAACGGAACGAGGCGCGGGATTACTTTTCACTCGACCTCAAGCCAGGCGGGTTGAAGCGATCACCCTCGGGCAGCACACTCATATTTCCGGCCTGGCTCGCTGCGAGCGGGTCGCTAACAGATGCTTCCGGCTTGCTCCTTGCATGTTTATCTGTCATCCGTTCCGAATACCGCTAATATTTTGCATGTACATGGTATACAGGGCCTCCGGTGCGAACTGGTTAATTTAATTTAAATAAGTTTTAGGTAAGGCAAAAAAAAAAGTCTCCGGTTTCTGGTATGCGCGCGCGTCGCGCGCTGTAGCCATGCGCGTCGGCAAAATGAAAAAGTTATTTTTTTTCAATGAAAGATGATGTCTCAAAACCGCCAAACTCACTGGTTTGACTGGAATCCTGCTGCTGCACAATTTTAACGTGTTTTTAGATTGGGTAATGGTCGAGAATAAGCTTTATGTGGCCTCTCTGGACTCCCATATATTTGCACTAAGTTTAGTCGAGCACCATTTGCAGTCATCAGCCGACATTTGAAGCAAAAAATCAGGTAAAAAAAAAAAAGCCGCGTCGCCGCACCACTTCTTGGGCAAGCTCCATACCAGAAACCAGAGACTTTTTTTGGGGGGGGGGACCTATTGATTACCTTGTTGAAAAAAAATGGGAAAGATTTTTTTGACCTTTATACTGATCAGAGGGTATACGCAAGTTGACAGAGTAAAAAAATTTTGTTTTCAAATCACATTTACCTAATCTGTAAGGTAGCTGTTCAGTGTACATTATCTGATTAACATATCTGTTATAACCAAAAAATGGGGGTTGTACGTGCATGTACATTTCTATCAGTTTCTAGAGCGTAATTAAAGTTGGCGTTGTAAAAGTATGGCTCTGTCTGACTTCAGTTATTATTTTGTCCTGTTTTTTTCCCCTGAAATTGTGGAATTGGGACTTCTACGAAATATGAACTCATCGACGTCACAGATGTGTGTAAGGCTGGGGGTCCATATGAGGGAAACATGCCAGATTTCACAGATTCCAAATTTCATGGTCTTTCTCCAGAATTTTGATAATTACATTCGAAGCAAATGGAAAGCATTCCTAGTTTCTGGCAATGGGCCTTATTTACGAGTCGGCCATTTTTGTCGAGTTCCCTGAATGTATTTCATTAATTGTTAACGGTGTAATGGGATGGCGCCAGACTATTTATGCAGGCACAATGCAGCCTTATTTTACTGTCATTTTTTTGTTAAGTATGATATAAATATTGGGGAATGTTTAATTACAAATTTTAAATTATTCATTGAAGCAGACTGGAATTTATTATAAAATGAACTTGCTTTCATTTCTCTTCGCAATTTAAACAAATTAAGATTTTACCTTACTTTCAATCCACTATGGCCGACTCGTGCATAAGGCCCTTACGGACCATTAGAAATTGTACGCATACGGGTTACATATATTTAATGGTGATTGAACCCCTTAACGCCGGCTGATGCCTCTAGGCGCAGCTCATAAAAGCTGATAAGCCGGGGGACTGCTACTGCTGCATTCCTGCTGCATAGCGCGTTCATTTATAGACAACGGCTGAATGCCTGCATGTACACTTTTCACCCAATGTGCAGCTGTCTGTGGCCAAACAATACCGGCGTCAAGGGGTTAATAGACGTGTTTTTCCTCAGCCATACACGTATCCCGTATGCGTACCATTTCGAATGGTCCCTTAGTCTGTAGTTGATGTTTCTGAACCGCAACATTGATATAATACTGAGCCAGAGCCGGCGTGTCCTTGGCCTAAAATCTTGAAGCCTCACCTGAAGCCAGCTGCTGGAGACTACCAAGTTTTGACAAACTCCAAATTATCATCTGGAAGTTGTAAAGAATTCGTTGACGGACATTCAGTAAATAAGGTTTGTGTTACAGACAACATCTCAATGTAATGACATGACTACATGTCTTTCTTTATTAATCCGCACTTCTTGCTGGTGAAAAAGCGCTTTATAAACCAAATAGATAAAAAATAATATTAAAGTACCATCCCACGGATGGTCAAGGCGTGTAACAAAAAAACCCACTTATTTCACCATCTCTGCAATCAAATATAAAACTCAAAAATCAATTTGCATGATTTGATAGAATGTTCACTTTGTGTTCTAGTATTTACAGCTCAGTCTTATAATTGACAAATTTGGCAACCAGAACTGTTGATGGCAAAACAGTTTAAGAGATATTTCATTAATATAATCAATCACAAATTTTCATCATTATCAGTTAGCTCATAAATTTTCCATTTTAACCCCTCCTATGCAAACATACATTCTGTGCCAAGTAGTCCTTTCAGTCAAAATCAAACAAGTGACTGTTTTAAACAGGTAAGAATTCCTAGCCTACATAAAGCGGGATTGACTGGCTGGGACTGTTAAAGTAACTTGATACAGCTATGCTTTGACTCCGGTTGAGTGACAAAACAGCTGTGAAAACAACT